AGCTCGGTGGGAGGGGACACATCCGCCTTCCCGGCTGGTGGGATTTTCGGGAAGGCCACTCTGAACTCGGCGGGAGGCGACACATCAGCCTTTCCTGCCGGTGGGATTTTCGGTAAGGCCAACCTGAACTCTACCGAAGGTGACACATCGGCCTTTCCTGCCGGTGGAATTTTCGGAAAGATTAATCTGAGCTCGGTGGGAGGCGACACATCTGCCTTTCCTACCGGTGGAATTTTCGGTGAGGCCAACCTGAACTCTACCAAAGGTGACACATCAGCCTTTCCTGCCGGTGGAATTTTCGGAAAGATTAATCTGAGTTCGGTGGGAGGCGACACATCTGCCTTTCCTACCGGTGGAATTTTTGGTGAGGCCAACCTGAATTCTACGGAAGGTGACACATCAGCCTTTCCTGCCGGTGGAATTTTCGGAAAGATTAATCCGAGTTCGGTGGGAGGCGACACATCTGCCTTTCCTACCGGTGGAATTTTCGGAAAGGCCAACCTGTACTTCGTGGGAAGCGACACATCTGCCTTTCCTGCAGGTGGAATTTTCGGAAACATTAATCTGAGCTCCATGGGAGGGGACACATCCGCCTTCCCGGCTGGTGGGATTTTCGGGAAGGCCACTATGAACTCGGCGGGAGGCGACACATCAGCCTTTCCTGCTGGTGGGATTTTCGGAAAGGCGGAACCAATGGAGCAAGCAAGCAGTGCCAAATAAGTCGCGTCCACAGAATATGCCATGCGTGTTATATATACCTCTTGTTCCTCCCTATATATATGTGCCTCCAGCTATGTCTGGTTTGTGTCCATGTTCTGCTTTGTTTCACTTTCTTCTCTCTACTGTAATATATTGGTTTAAGTTGTGTTATATTCCCTCATAAGGGCTTAATAAAAAGGAGGAGAATGTCAAGAACCAGTTGCTCCCAATAACTCGAGTTGTTGGGAGAAGGTTATGTTGGATCTTATACAGGCCCGTGTATGGTGCTTAACCACTTCCTTACACGCCCCCTCAAACGAAAGCCGACTCATGGGCTTGAAGTTTGCACAGGCCCGCCATACCATGTGCTTGAAAGACAACGGTTAATATTGGGGGTCGTGAGGACTTGAACACGTGACCTCACGGACAACCAGCTCTGATACCATGTCAAGAACCAGTTACTCCCAATAACTCGAGTTATTGGGAGCAACTGGTTCTTGACATGGTATCAGAGCCTAGAACCAAAAGGTCATGTGTTCGAATCTCCACGACCCCCAATATTAATCGTTGTCTTTCGAGCACATGGTATGGTGGGCCTGTGCAAACTTCAAGCCCGTGAGTTGGCTTTCGTTTGAGGGGGCGTGTTAGAGAGTGGTATAAGATCCAGCGTAACCTTCTCCCAACAACTCGAGTTATTGGGAGCAACTGGTTCTTGACAGAGAAAACGTCCTTGGGTGTGACATCAGAAAAGATACATAGCTCAGTTCCAACTCCATGGTTCAGCCCTTATCTCTTCAACATAAACCTTAAACTAAGGGCGCTTACTTAATTAATTACTGTGCGTTTGGGACGAACACGACGCTTGCTCTCGGGGAGGCCCTCGGGAAATGCATTCAACAGTCCACAGCTTGTCCTCACCGGATAATCCGTCCCACAACATGATTTCCATCCTGCCAAGTACCGGCGACGATCGAGTTCAACAGCCATCGGATCAGATCCATCTGATAAGCTTTGGTACCCTTCTCCGGCTTCACCTCCACCTTCTCGAGTCGACTCAGAAGCAGATGATCATCATCATCGTCGTGTGGTTTCCAGCAGTAGCTGGCACCATTATTTACCAGCTCCACAGCATCAGCCACCGTAGTGGGATACAAGCCCTTCCTTCTTCTTCATCAGTCAGTACTCGAGCAGGATATCAGTACTGCTGGCTTCCATCTGGATAGCGAGTTGTCGCAAACCAGGTGCGCTGGTAATAACGTGAACGATATGCCCCAGGCGTGCCTCAAGTTGCTCAAACGTACCTCATTGATGGTCAAGCGCCTCACCCATCTCCAACGACCGAGGATCAATCGGACTGTTACTTGTTCCCAGGTACTGAAAAATGAAACAAAGGAAAGTCGCGCTAATGTCATTAAACCAGCTGGTCTCAAAGAAACGTAGGCAACATTTTGTTTGTAAGGCGCCACCGCGGAAACCAAACTATGATAAACTTTAATTTAAAGAAACGTGTAAAAGAGCTTATATAATATTCTTTTTACCATGGTAATACAATTTTATTGATAGTCAAACGTAACTACAAGAACACAACGACAACGTCGCTAGGTACAACCGTCCCTGCGCTAGGTACAAGACAAAAGTCCGTGCGCCACCGCGAAAACCAAACCATGATCAAAACACACATAACACATCGTCATGATCTATAAGTCTCAAAAGTCAAAACTCTTATAATACCCATGTGTACTCTTGCGATTTTTCCTGGCTATGAAACTGGCCAGTAGTTCTGCCGGCATTGATGAAATCTCGATCTATATATACTGAAATCCAACAGTCCATGACAACAAAGACAACCCCACCACCAGAAATATATAAAGGAGTTTAGGTTCTTATCTTGTTGCGGTTACTTAAACCGTGTTAGTATTGGGCCTTGTTGGGCCTCGTCTGATTCGTTGGATTAGGGTTTTAACCCTAAGTTTATCTATATAAGCTTAGCTATCGACTTGTGTGATAGCAAGCCGTCAAGATGTAATCCTAATAAGAGATCAGTCGTGAGCTCTTATGAGCTCACCGTGGATTAGTCTCGATCAATCAATCGATCGAGGATACCACGTAAAATCGTTGTCTCGTGTGTTCTATTTCAATTCCGCATCATCAAATTCTACATATCTCGTTAGAAATTAAACTTCATGCACCTACCGAAATTGAATGAGTGGATGCGTCATTCACTATTGTAATTATGTCACGCCAATAGGACCCAACGTGAAATAATGCATGGCATATTAATTGGCATCAATATGGCATGTCAGTTCCGGGCGGATGGCGAGCGAACGTGGACGTATATCCACTTATTAATTGTCGGCCTTCAAAGCAAACCACCAACAGGCAAATAACCATATCCATCCTCCTTTAGCAAATTACCATTCAATATAAACAGCGCGCCAATGAACTTAACCCTTCAGGCTTCAACCACATCCGCCATGGCTTCTTCTCTCACAGTCGTCGTCGTTGCTCCGAGTCTTGGCATGGCGACCAAGAAAAATACTGCTCCCATACTTAAGAAACCAGTAGCAGTTGTTTTATCTTCTCGCCATGGCCAGACCTTTCCCAACAATAATTTCAAGCCGTTGTTGCTATGCTCATCGCCATCAGCTCCCGTCGAGGCAGCACCAGCGGTTTCTCCTCCAACCCGTGACGTGCCGTCGACGTCGGTGGACCATGAATTTGGCCTCCTTCCCTATGGCCTCTTCAGGCGGACTCAGATGCCGTCGGCGGAAGATGCTACGATTGCTAGACCCTGGAGCAACAACGACGACGACGACCGCCACTTTCCCTCTGGAGCAGCTCATCAGTAGATTTACAGAGAATTAGCTGATCTCAATTACTACATATTATTTGCTGGATCTTGCGTGCGTACGTGGAGTCCATTAATTACTTGCATCTCTCTCTCTCTATCTCCATACTTTACTTTGTGTTATCTCCGCACTTCCTATACAGCCGATGTAATCGTACAAAATTTATGTTTACATAGGTGTATCTCTTCCGCGCCTTCCTCATTCGCAACTCTATTTTCTTCACGGTATGTATGAATAAATTATGTAATTCATAAATCTATTTAATAAATCAGGTTAAATCGTTGATTGAAAAAAATCGTTGATTTAGATTATATATATATATATATATATATATATATATATATGGGGAGTTCTACGGTACCCAGGGTGAAATCCGGGGTACCGCATACCTTGAGTAAGGAAAAGCTATCCAGAACTTGAATTGACTGATCTTTCGGACATAATATTATACTCTAACCTTTAAAGATAAAAATCCCGCTAATTCGAGGTCTAAATAGCATTTTCATACTCAATGTATGTGGTACCCCGGATTTCAACCGGGGTACCGTAGAAGGCACCATATACATATATACGTGTGTGTGTGAGATGAAGCTAGTGTTAATAAAAAGGTTTATTAAAGCCTAAATACAAATGTACTGTCGAAATCGGGCAGCTTCATTAATATAATATTGTCTGCTTTGGATCAAGCCTGCATAGTTTTACTCTTGGGTATCAACTCCAAAAAGGTCTCGCATTAATTGAGCTAGGTTGACACGTATATACCAATGTATCTTCCCTTATATTTCAGATGTGATACTTGGATTCTCCCATAACATGTACCGTAGAAGGCACCATATACATATATACGTGTGTGTGTAAGATGAAGCTAGTGTTAATAAAAAGGTTTATTAAAACCTAAATACAAATGTACTGTCGAAATCGGGCAGCTTCATTAATACAATATTGTCTGCTTTGGATCAAGCCCGCATAGTTTTACTCTTGGGTATCAACTCCGAAAAGGTCTCGCATTAATTAAGCTAGGTTGACACTTATATACCAATGTATCTTCTCTTATATTTCAGATGTGATACTTGGATTCTCCCATAACATGTAGCTACATACATATTACCAAACTTCGAAACTCTCTTTCTATTGAATAATGAGATCACTTGACAATATTGCCATATTATTATAAATTCAGCTCTCCTTGAAATGAAAAGTAATTATATATATTTGTGTAATATGGATAATTCAAATATGCTCACCATATATAGCTTATGGATATGGTCATTACAATCCCCCCGAGTTTCACTAATGGTCAAAAACCCCCCGAAACCATTTGCGAAAACCACGAAAAGTTTTACCAACCTAAGGAATGGTTTGACGATATGATATTGTTCACCTACATATTCATCATCCAAATCAATCCACAAAACCGACACCCATCAACTAACTAACTACCGACCAATCATCATGATAACGACGCGAAACAACGGCCATCGGAACCTTCTCCCGACGCCGGCGGCACTCCTCCTCCTCCTCCTCCTAGCCGCTGCTTCTCCTGCCGACGCGTGGAGCATCTGGGGGAAGACGACGGTGGTGGTGAGAAACGAGCTGGTGAACCACCTCCAGATGGACCTCCACTGTAAGTCCCGTGAGGACGACCTCGGCGGAGTGCTGCTCCAGGTGTTCGAGGAGTTCCAGTGGTCCTTCCGGCCCAACCTCTTCGGGGGCACGCTGTTCTACTGCCACGTCAACTGGGGCGACGGCCGGCTCTACTGGTTCGACTTCTACGTCCAGCGCAGGGACATCAAGCGCTGCCGGAGCGTCTGCCGGTGGTCCGTCGACGTGCATGGCCCATGCAGTTATAACGAGCACGAGGGCGGGTACGACAAGTGTTATCACTGGAATTATGTGAACATTATTAGGAGAGGGTTGTTGGGGAATGGGACGATGGAGGAAAGGGAAAAGAGAGGTTTGACCGAGTAGAAACCTAGCTAATTAGTAAGCTCTATAGAAACCAAATAGAAATAAATTGTTTTGAATTTTTTCAGTTTTTTTTTAAATTATAATAATTTGTTCAGTTTCAGTTAAATTGTTTTACGCACATATGTTAGTGAAAGGGTTAGAATATATAAAGCTTATATGTTAAGTTAGTAATGGCGTCTAGAGGGTGGGGAAGAAAATTAGTGAATTATAGGTATGAAAGTTAATTGGGAATGAAAGTTAAAAGTGTGGCAATTTGAGATTGGTTTATTGAGATTTGAGAGTTGTTGTATTTGATACTAAGCCACGACTGCATTTGTTAAGCATGTGGTGTTCAGGTTTGTGTAAGTTTTGAGTTTATATAAGTTGATTTTGTTTTGAGAGGTTGTGTTAGTAAATGACATAAGACTCGTTATTGAATTTCTCTCAATAACTCGAGTTATCGATGCTGCTGAATGGTTCTTGACAAAGAACACTATTCGAAAGAGCACGCGACTAACTAAATCATGAATAATTGTTTTGTATGAAATTTATTATTTAACATCTTCCATAAACTCGAGTTATTGATTCTAAACCTTTGTTAACAAGGAACATTATCCCAAGAGCGAAAACCTAACTAAATCACAAATAATTAATTATTTGGTATACAAAGAGTGATATTCTTGATAGTTTTGATTAATAGGGTATTTTAATTTATAATATTTTCAAGATAAGATTATATCATGGACGACAAAAAGTTAACAAAAACTATTTTATCATATGTATTTTTTTTTCTAAATAGACCCACTTCAGACTAAATCCTGCTACGGCCCTACTAAAAAACATTATCTGTGTTTTGGTTATGTCACGATGAGGTTTAATAAAAATAATATCATGTCGCGGTCATACCTAGCTATTAAATATGGTGGTTTGTGATATGGTACCATATACTACGGCCGTATCACAAAAATCGTATATCATGAGCTGGGATGAAAAGATTATTAATTGAACATTTTGATCTCCATGTCACAATAACATTTTCAAAACACTTTTCAACTTAGCATAATCTAACTAAAGTATTAACTTGAATAAAATTATGGGCTATATTTCATATTTTCAAAAGTTTGAATAATGTTTTGCTGAAATTGCAAGGTTCGATTGATAAATTAATTTGTATAACACAATTACACAAGCAAGACATCGGGTTGCTGGCCCAGCCCAGCCCAGCCCAGACGATCTTAAAGCCCAAATATTTTTGTTTTGCAAGGCAAAAAGAAAAGCATTTAGGAAACCCGCGGTCGTCCGTCATCTATCTGCTGCGTTTCTGTAGAGTATCTATAGTTTGGCGTCCGTTCAAAATCATTATCTGAAATTCAGAACGAACTCCATTTCCACAGTTCTCTTGGGACTGGGGAACCCAGTAGCATATCTTAGCGGGAAGGAAGACATTTTTCTCGCTGGATGGACGCTCTCGCTGTCTCAGGATTCGCCTGTTTCGCCAACTGCCCCAATTCTCTGCTTCCCAATTCGTTACATCCAGTGCCTTATCCTCCCAAGCCGCTTCTGAAGAAGAACCCACGACTAGCTTCGGTTTTGAAAGCCAGCTACAGCCCAGGTCTTTGAATTGCAATTTCACCTCCCTCGTTTACTTCGTATGTATCAGTAAAACATTCTGGCCTTCTGGGTTCCTGGCTACTTGGTTCCCATTTCATCAATTGAGCAAGTTTAGAATGAATGCCGGGACATTGGTAGCTAATTTATTATGCTGCTGCATGCTAACTGTCATTGAGCTGTTTTGTTGTGACTACGAGCAAGTGCATTCTCTTTTTAGTTAGCTTTTGATAATCAGTCCAGGTCTTCTCATGAGACGAAGTATTTGTCTATGTTTACTCGATAAGGGAAACAGGCTCTTGAATTGTATCTTTCTGCGTTTTGGCAGTGAGTGAACTTGCAGAGGACGATGTTCTGCAAATGTTTCTGGAGGAAAGAGCGGTTAGCGGAGACTTAATATCAAAAGTTTGTGACATGTTCTGGCAGAGAGATATTGTAAAACTTGCTGATGCTGATGCCAGTAAATTTGTTGACACTACGCTGGAACTAGAGCAGGTGAATTGAATAGCTGGTTTGTCAAAGAATCATTTGTATTAACGATTTTGAGGGTTCTGCCTTGTGTGTTGAGTAGGCATCTTATTTAGAGTCCACTTTTTTTCATTTTAAAGAATGTTGCTCTTGGTCTTATAACTTCTCTCATGTTGCAATATGTTTGAGGTAAGCCACGCCTTACCGCAGCATATGTACTTGACATCGCATTGTGGCTGAACCTAGCTTTACTGAAGAGATTGTTGTTGACTACAAAAGGGATTTTCATGTTTGTTTTGTTTCCCTTTCTGAAGAGGTTCTATCTCTAGGCATAATTTTATCTTATCTGCTTTTCTCGATTTTCCTTTTTTCATTCTGTCATGGATTCAGGCGTCTGTAATGGTTCTAAATTGGAAGTTCTTTACATGCACAGGTTACAGAAGATGACGACAATGATGGATTTTTGAAACTGTCTGGAACCCGGGAATGGATATTAGGAGCTAGCGATGCACCAGTGAACAAGAAAGCCATAGCTAAGGTGCCATTATACCTTCGATTCCATTTCATATTTTTCTGTTGGTTTGAGATTCTTGCTGATGGCGGATGGTTAATTTATCTTGTTGTTCAGGCTCTGCAGGACGACAGAGAAAGAAGAAAAAAACTGAACTTTCTTAAATACGAAGCTGTATGGCTTTTGCTTTGAACTCTGCAAATTTACTATCTATGTTGAGTTTTTACTGATCTCCCCACTCAACTGCCAGGAGACCTCTATGCAATACGTTTCTGTTTCTGCAATAGTTTATAAAGCTCAATTGCTATGGTTTACATAAGCCCTTACAGTGCTCTTGTCTGTTTGATTGATGCTACAAGTTGCTGCACTCGGCTCATTACTTGCATTCTAAACCATGACCTTCGTCATTCTTACGCATGATTACATCTTTTTCTCTTGCAGCTCAAAAGAGAACTGATGTTTCTATCAATTGGAATTGGCACAGCGTGTTGTGGATATTGTTTAGTAACTTTATCACTTCAGGTAAACTTCGGAAGTCGGCCTCATGCGCAATATCAACAATCTTACCATGTATAGGAGGTGATATTTTAGGGAATTCCTGTGTGGTGTAAGAATTTGCTATTTATTATGGAGTAGTCCTTTCGTCTTTTGACTGAATTGCTGAAGTGTATAATCAAGCATTTTAGATGTTTCAGAAATAAACTTCTTTCCATTGTGCAGTCACTCTCCTCCCATAGATGATTTAACATTCTTTGTTTCTTCACAGTGTTGTTAGAGCATAGTTATTTATGAAAGCTAGTAACCAAAGTTTGCTTGAGGCTGAAAAACAACAAAGGCCCAAGTGATTTAATTTTACGTTTTGGATTTGTAAAGGTTACAGGTTGATTATTCATTTATGGAAAACTGACCACCTGATGCCTTTTTTCAGGCTGCTATAAGTTATGCAGTTGGAGTGCTTTTCAGGTTAGTTTGTCTACTGTTTCCTTTGCACAATTATGCTGGCCCATTAACACAAAACTTTTCCTCTAAGTGACTGCATAGCTAGTGTATTATCCAGAGCAAAATTGTAACGGCTCTCTGCAGTTGAGAGGTTATATTTTAAAAGAAACAACATCCTGTTTGAACAATATTGTCATCTTTTTCAACATCTATAGAGATCCATAGGTCACTAAGTTGAGTTGAACAACTTCCTTGTACAAATCCATAAACAATGATCACCTTCATTTTGCTGTTTTCTTGTTTTGCTAACCAACTTCTTTTGCGGTGCAGTTTGCTATACTTTCAGCTCTTGTGCCAGCATTCAGACAACCTTTCAAGGGAAATGATCCCTTCAATTTTCATGCAAAAGAAGGCAAAGAAGTACACGCTCTCTCTTCTCGCCAATGTTTGTAAATCTGCCATCTTTGCATGCTCTCTTCTCGTTCAGAAATTTAAAATCGTTATGATCTCTTTCTCAGAATTGGGATAAGAAGTGAGGACCTCACAGATTCATTCGAGAAGACAATAAGGGGAAGCGGCATTGCACTTTCATCTCCACGACTCGTGATTCCAGCTGCAGTGTATGGTCTTTGGGTCCTGTGTCATCACTATATCGCCATTGACTTATTCGATTTCCAGGTACTGTGAAGCATTAAGATGAAGATCCCAAATGGAATTTCAGTAGTCTCAAGCATGCCCACGAATGTCTGAATCCACGATTCTTTATTTCCACAGATCGTCCCAGCCATGTTCGGGATGTTTGTGTACAAAGCTGCAGCTCTGGTTCAAGTGTATAGAGATAACGAAGACCTCCAACTTATCTTCCCGGAAGATTGAAGTTACTCTTGATCCAAGTAAATGTATGCCACCATTTGCTCATCCTATAGGCGACTCTTCGTGCAAAAATCACTATCTGCTGTTGGTTGTGGCTGTGAACATCTGCTGTTTTGCTTTGTTTTGTTCTTGCTCTCTCTTTTTTCAGACAAAAAGGAAAGAAGGCCTCTCTACAACAAGAAACAAACAAGAAAAGAACTGGCATAACAAAGTGGACGACGGTGGTCCTTGGAGAACCTAGGCCAGTAATAGTAAATATCTATGCGGAATTAGTTGGAAACCCCTTCATCACTGGTTGAGTTTGTGAATCAATTTGCAGCCTCTTCTGGTTTCAGTGAAGATAGTAGAGACTATATAGTGTGTATTCTACTGGTCTTTGTTTGCATTATAATAGTTTCCCCCTATCATATGAAAATGTCAGATAATTATGACGATTTTAACTCGCGATAATGTCATATCAGACTATTATCGTGTTTAAAGACCGTGATAATGTCACTTCCATTCATAGAGAGAAATACAACCCATACCATCAAACTTTGAGAATTGGGGGATGGATACCACTAAAGTCAATTTAGGGCATTGGATACCATGTAAGTCAATTAAATGTGCATCCTTCCAATTTTCCATCCATTTCACTAACGGAGCAAAGAAAAAAAAAAACAAAATTGACAAGTCAACGTTGACTACAAGCCACCAGGCTGCTTAGTCACTTACCTTTTTGCCACATCACCCTTGTATTTCCCCAATCGCTTCGCACCAAAAAAAGATCCTAATACCAAACCCTTCCCTCCCAAACACGTCCCATGTATCTATCCCATAATTTTCATTCTGAATCAATTTTTTATTTGCCAATGTGCATGAATGAAGATGATATCTCATGACTTTGGCTAATTAACACGCTTACAAGCTGATTCTAGATAATATTGAACAAACGCTTGTTGAAAGTCCATAATCTGGATAGTTACTCTCATCTCATTTACGTAGTTACTGCAATACGTATTATATGAAGCATGTCTATAATTTGTTTTTGCAAAATATTTATCAAAAGTTTGCTAAAGTCTAAATAAAGCTAAATTCCTTAGATACTAATTCTAATGCAATGTCATGATAAGTGACAGTAGGACAAAAAACACCAAATAACCCACAAAGTACGAAACAATCTCAAAAAGCATAAATTAGACATTTCCATTTCCCCCTCTCCTTGGATGATTTCCACTTCTGCCTGCACTTGACGTTCCTCTTCTAGGAACAAAAGCTTTCCTTCCATTTCCTGGTCTAGCCCATATCCGTTCTCCTTGATGGACCTGAAAATGAGAATTTTTAGAATACATCAATGAAGCTAGTTTCAATATTAACAAAATCATACATGGTTATTACTTGAAAAGATAATTAATTAAGAGCTGAAATTATATACCCGAAATCCCAAATTAGTTGGCGCTGAATTGACAACGTCATTTGTTTGCTGATTATGCATCTGATTCACATCATAAATTGGTTGACTCAAGGGATAACTTTGGCTAGTTTCCTACGCAAACCAAAAACATAACATATTTATAAAGGGCTGCCAAATCAAAGAAAATCCAAGTTTAACTAGTCCGCTGCGTAACCACATCCAGAACCAACCCTTAGTATTGCTATACGTTCCTAGCTAGCATTTTGAGAAAACCCAAGTTTAAAGTTGCTGTACCACTAATCAAGTATAGAGATTTGACAAAATTAAAGAGAAAGAAAAACATATACGGACAATTGCTTAAGTTTAATGAGAAGCAAGCTTAAAATTCAGCTTACAGTCGATCTTGGTGGACGGTTGTTAATGTTTCCAGCTCCATATGCTTCAGAGGGAGTTAACAAGCGTCCTGCCATTTCAGCTAAGTTCGAGTGTCGTCCTTCAAACCTATTAATCCTTTCTCCAGAATACCAAATATCAGCTGTGTTGGGTGTCATTGTTGTTGGTTGCGACCCTCCAGTTTCAGCAGCTCCAATTGGTTCATTTATGCCATCATGTTGCTCATTTTGAACTCTAGCTCGTTCGTTTTCGTCACGATGTGCACTCTTGTTGTGACCTTCTCCACCGCATTGACTGCAATGAATTTTTCCATTTTTCTTGTTCATTCTTTGATTGTTGGGCTTCTGCTTTCTTTGTCGCTTTTGTTTCCCTTCCAATACCTCCTCCGGACCTTTTCTCCTATTCACCCTACGTCTCCCCCTTGTTGCCTTAGCATCAATGCTAACATAGGGTGGCATCACAGGGTCTTGGTTGCTATCCCTCCATGATTCAGGTCCAACCATAGATTCCAGTGTGTAGTTATAAATACTAACATAGGTGGCCACCTCATAACACTTATCCACATATGGTTCAACCTTCTCCTTCTTTGAAAATATGCAGCAAACAGCATGAGCACATGGTATTCCAGTCAACTCCCATTTCCTACATGTGCAACTACATTTGTTCAAGTCGACAACAACTTGTCCTTCAAGACATCGAACCTGGAATGTGTTAGAACCATTGGGTAGGGCTCTACAACCGAAGCTACCCTCCTTAGCCGCATAATCACGTGCCCTTCTTGCTGTCCATCTTGATACAGTATAATGAAAGTCTTCTTCCACCGTCTGCATTATCGAATCATTCCCCCATTTAGGATCAATTTCAAACCTAAGCAGGTACTTCTTGGCAATGAATTTGTAAGTAAACCACTTGTGCCAAGATAGCAGAACACATCCATTATGTTCCAATTGGGCTGTCTTAATGTGAACTTTCTTCCCATCTGCAGAAGGTGACGCCCAAATGTTCCAACCACAATTCTTGTCACACAAAACTTGAACTCTTGTTGGGTCACTGTGGGCAAATCTCAAAGGAAACTTATTTTTTATTGAGTAAGCTCTAATAGGTTGCTTGAAAGTGTTCAAGTCCCTAAAGATTTGCCCCACAGAGAATTGAGGATTTTCCATATCCCTTGCTGGATTAAACTCTTCGAACTTATTTTTCGTATAACTTTCGTCATCACTTGAATGGGAGCTGCCCATGTCATCTGAATCATAGCAATCTGTGTCAACATCTCCACCAATGTCATCATCAATGATCAAATTGTTCATGTCCCCTCCACCTTCAAAATCTTCGAAATGAAAGTCCTCATCACTAACTTCATTTTGATCATCCTCAAACCCACTTTCAGCTTCAGACTCAACTTCTCCTTCTGTAAAGAGAAACAAAAAGCTTGAAAATGGGATGGAACACATACTCTCAATAATAAAATTCACAAACCAACAAGTAGGGGGCCACTTACCTTACCCAAACAAACAAATTAAAGAAACAAAAATATTAATAAAAAAGAGTTATCATTCATGCAACCCTTGCATGCAAGGGCAAAAAGAAGCAAACGTACTTCCCTTCCTTTAACATAAACCCTAATTCAAGTTTAAACAAAAGACAATATGCAGTTAGAAAAGAAAGAATCCTTACCACGTCGTGGTAGAGAATCCCGACCTCCTGACATACTAACAGTTGGAGCAATCTTGTCCCAATTTAAACTCTATTATAGGAAAACGGAACTGGGTTTAGTACATATAACACAAGGAACAAATACGGAAAAACCTAGAAGAAAGGTTGAGATTCCATACCTGCAAAGGTTTCCAGCTTCGGTGAGAAAATATTGGCCGACCTATTTTTTACGATCGTCGTCTTATGCGTAGGATTATTTTCCGCCGTCAAGTCTTGTCGAGCTGCAATTTTGATGGAGAAGATGAAGAGTTTCAACTTGGGGAAGCGTCTTTGGGAGGGAGAGGTTTGGTATTAGGGTTTTTTTTTTGTTTTTTTTTTTTTGCGAAGGGATGAAGAAATACAAGGGGTGATTAGGTAAGTGACTCAGCAGCCTCGTGGCCTGTTGTCAAAGCTGACTTGGCAATTTTTTTTTCTCCGTTAGTGAAATGGATGGAAAATTGGAAGGATGCACATTTAATTGACTTACATGGCATCCAACGCCTTAAATGAACTTTAGTGGTACCCTTCCCCCAATTCTCAAAGTTTAATGGTATGGAATGTATTTCTCTCTCCATTCATACCTTGCATCCTATAATCGACAATTCGACATAGCTCTGGTTCACGTTTGGTCAGCAAAAAATATAGTGTATTGAAAATTTGTATTTAGACCTTCTACAATTATTCTGTATCGTTCCAATTTTTTATCATGAGCCGATAATTGTGTTTCTGAAAATGGCATGTGATACTTGGACCTGACTTAGAACTTGAATAAGTACGCACCTGAAATCTTATTAGGCAATAGAGACAATGGAAAATCGATCATTTTCAGCAGCCATGAGATCTCACTTCAGCTAGTAGCCTTTCCACTGGGCGAGTGGCCAACTGAGAACATTTCCACTTCCACTCTCGCCGATCTCTCAATCTCAAATGTCCGGAGGTTCCTTCTCCGAATCGATTTCCCTGGCCAAGGAGAAACCCTAGATCCTCTCCGCAATCGTCTCCCTTCCGCTCATTGAACTCGAAGCTCGAATAATGTCTTCCAGGAAGCCAGGCGACTCCGATGTGCTGTCCTCCCTGTACTCCATGATTCCACTCCTCTTCTTACTCTTGGCCTGCGTCGAGCTCTCCGACGCCGCCGCAGCAGTCGACGTCTACCGTCTGGTCCAGTATGACATCTCCGGGGTTCCGTTTGGATCTCGTATCGCCGCACTCAATCACCACGCCGCCTCTTTGCATTCCTCTGCCGGCGCCGATCTCTCCCGCTCCGTTCTCATCATCCCCCTCCGGGAGTTGAACATCTCTCTCGTCAAAGGTAATTTCCAGTTGCGGCTGATTGCTTTGCATTTGGAGTTGGACTACGTTGAGCTCGATGTATTAAATTTGGCGGCATGCTGTAACTGATGTAACGGTTTTGCTTCCATTACGTCGCCGTGAAGTGATATTGTTGGCTTCAACTGTAACCCCAGCTTCAATTTTGGACTTTCCATAAGCATGTCAGTTTAGTACGCCCTTTCTGCATTTTGATGTAGAGCGCCACTTTGGTCATGACAGAATATATTTCTCAAAAGAAGACTCTTGGTGGCTTGTTGCTTCTGCTTCCTCAAATGTTTAATTTTGAGAGTGGAGATATGGCGGTAACTAAGGATGACATTCATGAGATGGAGAGGCTGAAGAATCTATTAGTCGAATTGGAAGAACTTCTGATACATGCTAATATACCTGTGAGTTCGTCAGTCTCTTTTGCTCTTCAGTGAACCTTGATATATGCTAGTTCCTAAGGTCTGCACAAACGTTCATTTCGTTTTCTGTTACTAGAATCTTATTACCAACCTAGTGTAGTAAAATGCCCACTTTAAGGCTAATGGACTTAATGATGTCTACATTGAAAATCTTGCAAGCATTGGAGACCCTTTTGTTAAACTTCATGAAATCTGAGCAATTTTTTTTGTAACCTTATCCATATGACTTGTTCAGTTTATTCAAATTTGCACATGGTCTCTGTGCATTTCTTTGTGAACCACACTATATCCTTGCTGTTTGCAGTTTACAGCTTTCCGACTTCTTTCATGAACCATTCATCTTTTTCTTCTCTCCCATCGGGTCTCATAGGATAGGATAAACAGAGGCTGTGTGACATGTAATCTTATGTGTAACTTGTTCAAGCTCCGTGTATTCTCCATGTTCAAATGGTTTAGGATTATAACTGTTTGAGTCTCGAGGTTCAGACTTCAGAGGTATATGATGAAATATAGTTTTTTTTATCATATATCTTGTGCATCCATTTGATTGGATATTTAGAATGCCGCTACTGGACCTTCATATTTTACATGGATGGACTAGGTATAGGAGTATGGGGTCACTTATCCAGTAGGCTAACTCATATGATTTGCTCATTTTCAGATTATTTTTCTACAGCCTAAGCCCATTGTATCTTCTCACTGTTGTCTTAATGACTTTTATCATCTTTCTCACTGGATTTTCCATTTCTTATTAAATGTTTTATCTTATCTTATCTTACTCAATACTGGAGTATTGACTGTCTTTTTTGTTGTTTTTGCAGTATCCTGTATATTTTGCTTTTGAGCATGATGACATAGAAGCTGTATTGGCCGACATCCAGAGGAATGATGTAAATGGTCAGGCGGCTACTCCGACTAATGGAGGGTTAGTTGATAGAGATTATTCAATATGAGTACTTAGATCATTTTGTTTATTTCTATCGTGATTAATGTTTCATTTTAATTTGTAATGGTGGAATTCTGATTAGGAGTGATAGCGGGCATTAGTCATTCACATTGTTGTCTTCTTTCTTATTCTGAAGAACCGTTGTGTTTATTCTAAGTACTGTTGCATTTATTAATCAACCTCAGTTTCTGGTCTAATATAAGGTATTCTGCAATATTTTTCCCATGGCTAAAGGGGTTTGAATCGTAAATATCTGCCTTACCACCTTCATGAAAGGAAATGAATTATTAGCTTGCTTTCCTTCCCAGGATAAGAGTTCAGAAAACTTTCAGTATTTGCTATTTTATATGGGTTTTCTTTTCTAGATCCAAGGACCTATAACTTTCAATGAAGCCTTTAAGTTTACATCATATCAATCAAGACTCAATAGCTACTTTGATCCATCTAGATACTTTCTTGCTTTAGAGTTGAGCACCCCTAAGTCTTATTTTCCCTTTTATGTTGCCTGGTAGCGGCTTTAGATAAAGAGACTAGATCATTTCCTAGACTTGAATTCATATGGTACCTATGTGCAATGACTTTGAATTTTTATATGGTTGTAGAAGTTTGAATTGCTATTTACTTTGGCACTTGAGCTTGTCCTAAATAATTCTGCACTGCAATTTGACTGTTGACTTCATCTTATTGATTTGTTGGCATGCCATTGTTGTTTCTTGTCTGACATTCCAGCTATTTCTCAAATGACAACTCCTAGAATGAAATCCACCTACAGTTTTGCGTTGTTATGGATTGGCAGAAATTAATCGCCAACTCTCAGGCACTTTCTGCCTAAGCTCATTACTGCTCATCTCTTGCACTAACACGTTCTCTATGTTGCTTTGTAATAGTGAGATTGACTATGCCGAACTTATCTGTTGAGACATTGAGCTTTATTTTCATCACACTATACTGCAGATACAAGTTCGTGGTCTCAGCTCCAGAACCTAAAAAGCTTGCATCTCCAATCATGACAAACATTCAGGTGTGCTTTCTTTTCTTTTTCAGGAAACAACTTGATGAAAAGACCGGGAATTATTTTTATGCTACTACAAATTATAGTGTCAATTGCAACCTGTTATTTCAATTATTATATACTTGCTTGATCTTTGTTCTTAACTTTACTTCGATTTTCGTGTCTGCATTAAACCACGCCAGGGATGGTTGCCAGGATTGAAACCGGATGGAGATACTAATCAACTTCCAACTATTGCTATTGTTGCTTCATATGATACCTTCGGGGCTGCTCCTGTATGTGATTCTATCATTCTCTTGTGGTTTGTTATTATTTATTCATCGCAGCATGTTAATGGAGGAATAGTTAAATGTGTAGGCATTATCAGTGGGAAGTGATAGCAATGGAAGCGGCGTTGTGGCTCTTCTTGAAATTGCTAGGTTGTTTTCTCTTCTTTATTCAAATCCAAAGACAAGAGGAAAGTATAACTTGCTTTTTGGTCTGACTTCCGGTGGACCATACAATTATAATGGAACTCACAAGGTACTTCATTTTGGACGGGATTCATTTGACTGGCTTTTGAGTCGCTTAACATGTTGGTTAATCCTTTTTCTGTTTCCATTTACTGAAGCATTTCCTTCTGCAGTGGCTTAGGAGCTTCGATCAACGTTTACGTGAGACAATTGATTATGCCATTTGTTTAAATAGCATTGGCTCCTGGGATGATAAGTTGTGGCTTCATGTGTCAAAACCTCCTCAAAATGCCTATGTGAAACAAATTTATGAAGTAAGCTAGTGACATCTGAGTTCTATAATGTAAGTATAGTTTGATGCAGGACCTGATCCAGGTGTTTCCTTTTTTTCCAGCGGTTCTCTGGAGTAGCAGGAGAACTTGGTCTTGAAGTTGAACTCAAGCACAAGAAAATCAATATTTCTAATCCTCGAGTGAGTTTGTCTTCCTGGGTCGTAGTGACATGAGTTGGAGTTGTGTGTCATATTGAAGGTTTTTGTTGGGATGTGTACGGGGATGATCATATATTCATATGATAAAAGTTTCTCCACTAGTTGGATCCATTAGATATTTGCCCAAACTGGCTGCTCCTTGAGGTGATCCTGCAGTAGTTCCCTGACCGATGCGAACCATCTCTCACGCATCTTTAAAGCTTTCCTCTTTTTGTGTGTATGGATACTACAATTCCTGCTCTCATAAAGTTAATGGTTTTCACTTAACATAGAAATGTTGTCCATCAGTGCATGTCCAGTGACTAGGAGACTAGGACAGATGTCGAGTTCGCATCAGTGATACTAAAAGCCTAGTCTTAAAGCAAGAATGGTCAAACTGGAAAGATGTGTCAAACTGTTCTATCAATTAAGTCTACTTGGCTCGTGTATTCAGTTTTCCATCATTGATAGAGTTGTACTTAGTATAGGCACTTTTAGCGTGCATAATAATACCATGCAGATCTCCTTAGTTAAGGTTTTGGACCAAATAATGAGTTCCTTACATGCTGTAGATAGCTTGGGAGCATGAACAGTTTTCAAGGCTCAGAGTGACTGCTGCGACTCTTTCTGGGCTCTCTTCTGCTCCTGAACTGTTTCAACGCACAGGAAGTCTTTCTGATAGCGGGTTATGTTCTCCAGTCAAACTTACTGTCATTGAATTGATGATTCAATGCTTGCCCTATTTTGTTTTCTTCTGACAAGTATTTCTGATGAACAGATATCTTGTAAGCGAAGATGCTATCAGAAGAAGTATCAAGTTAATTGCTCAGAGTATTGCGGTATGGTTAACCTATAGTAGATCGTGTTAATATATAAGATTAAATAATGATCATTATCAGAAGTTCTCCTTTTATATTTTGCACCATGAATGCACTACAAGCACTTACTTAGGAGTGAGTATAAGTCATGCATGTGACAGATGTGTCTCTTTTTTTTCTTTCTTTCCATTTCCTTATGCACAGTCACCTGAATGGGATTCAAGTCAAATATTCATTAATTGTTGTCAAGTGAACCCCTACTGAGATTCTTGTCCTCGCATTATGCAGAGGCATATATACGATCAGCAGGAGGACATGCCTGTCTTTGCAGATGATAGCAGCTTGGCTGTTGATCTGTCTTACGTCAGATTATGGCTTGATCTTTTGTCACGAACACCTCGAGTGGCACCATTTCTTACAAAGAATGATCCCTTGGTTGCAGCACTGAAAAAGGTGCTTCAGAAATACACCTTTCTAGAACCTTTTTCCTCTTCATTTCTTTCTATGACCTATTCCATGTTACATTATAGATAGATGATGTTGGTGTTCCAATTTTCTTTTACTTGCTGAACTTTGATTGTCTGTTTCGTTGGAACCAATTGCTATGAACTACTATGAGTAGTGCAACCCAAAAAAAAATAAAGAAAACAAAGCACATGTACATGCACATATATGAATCATCTCACATTTTGCACCCCTGCTGTATTTGCAGTGTAGTTGCGGTAGCATCTTAGATTGGTAATCGTAAACCTTCAGTAACTGTCATTTACCCAGTTCTTCGACACCTGTTATTACCACTCATGCTACTGCTCATCAGATTCCTTTTTATGATATAATACATTTGGTATGTTGTATACTATGGTCAACCAATTGTGAGCTGTTACCATTTAGTTTCTAGGACATTGCATTCCTTATTCTTTATTCTTCTATGAATGTTTCTGCATCCTGCACTGCTTAGGAGGTCAAATTCATGTTTGTTTCTTTTTGTGCGTGTGATTTGAACGTAAATAAATGGCTCTACCTTCTCTTTCCCAAGACGGAGTATGAACTTCCCTCGTTGCTAACTTTCGTGGCAGGAATTGGCAGAGCATACTCATGAAGTAACTGTGCAGCATGAGTTGCTTGATGGGATGTTCACATTCTATGATTCAACCAAAGCCAAGCTGAATATATATCAGGTCCATTTCTCTCTCTCTCTCTCTCTCTCTCTAAGAATAATGTGATAACCTTCTGCAATTTTCGCTCTTGCTGCCTACACCTATTCATTTATGACCTATAAGATTTCGGATTCATATTGGTGTACAAGTGGTTTCGTTTGTTTTATTGTTTTTTATGATATTTCTCGTTTCTGGCTTAATTTGCTCCACAATAGCACTGTGGAAGTGTACTTAACAGCTTACTAACACAGATGTTGCTACAGGTGGCTAGCGTTACATTTGATTTGCTATTGCTTCTAGCCGTGGGGTCGTACTTGATAGTGCTCTTCAGTTTCCTCGTCATCACAACCAGGGTACATGGACTCATTTATAATTTCAATCATGATAATTGTGTTTCTAGTTTCTGCTTACTCTTCTTCAATCACCCTATAGACCAACTGTAATCCAGACTTTCTGAGCCACATGCGGTATTTTTGAACAGGGTCTTGACGATCTTATCAGCATATTCAGACGACCTCCATCCCGGAAATCTAAAACAGGTTGATCAACTGCGACCTGACACTTGCGAGACTGCGCTTTGCAGGTTGTCCACGCGTATGCTGAAATTCAGGAGTTTGCTGGATCTAGTTAGCAATCTGTTGTCTCTAGAGATGAGAATTAGAGTTATGCCTTGTGATTTTCTCAAGCTGGGTACTGATGTGCTAGATAGAATTAGAATTTAGAAGTGTTCCGCAATGGTCTGTGCTACAGAAAATTTTGCTAGAGATTATTATGCAGGGCGCTCAAAACTTCTGTTTATTGGTGGCATACGTTACAGTCTTACAAACAAGAGATGTAGTCAAAATTGGAAGCTGAAGTATTACCAGCTGAATGATTTGAGAAACTTGTCCTTAAACTTCGCCAATGGATTCGTATCTGAAACCTTTCAAACGGCAGGACTTGAATATGAAGAAAAGTTTGATAAATCGATCGTCTTTTGGCTTCAGCCTTTTATAATTCACTCACGAACACAAACAAGTTCTTGACTTGCTGATAGTGAAATTGCCCGACTTTGAAGTTAGAACACAACTCACGATTTAACATTTAAGTACCGAAAATGAGTGAGTGATGCTGCAATCACAGTACATTGAGCCGTCTCGATCAAAATCCCATTCACCCTAGAATGTCAAACCCTAATTTGGAGATATGGTGTCACTCATGTACAGAACTTGAAGGTTGCTTTACAGACCTGATTCGTCCCTAATCAGCCTTCTCCAACAAGAGGAAAGTTCAACTAGCAGTCAATCATTAAACATCTTCATGGATCAGCATCTGTTGACCAATATGCTGAACTTCATGAACTTGGCCAGTTGATCACACTCCACATTGTCTTCTTTGACGAGGTGAACGTGCGCAGTATCTCATATCTTTGAAACTTTTTACATCAATCTTTTAATGATAGCATTCGCAGCATCACTCTTGTTTATCTACAAAGACGACACGCCCATGCATTGGCTGCAAGCAATCATGCAGATTCTGACTGTTTGTGACTAATGGAAACAAAGTGTAGCAAAAGTTTGTTACTACCTTCCCGTGTGTGCTTCTCAATGCCTTCTGGGCTTCATCCTCGGAGTCAAAGGTAACATACCCAAAACCTTTCGATTTCTTCTTATCTTTATCCTTGATTACTTCAGCTGCAAATACAGAAATCTATATCAATTGATAACAGTTCGAAAAGAAACCACTTTTTTCCAAGACTAAACATGATGCCTACCTTTCACCACCTTGCCGAACTCAGAAAATGCATCAGCTAACATTTGATCCGTCATGGAGAAAGGGAGACCTAAAGCGAAGCCATTAGTTGTGCGAACAGAAAACCAAGAGACCTCTTATTACTACATAAGGAGACCGCTGCCAATCTACAACTTAATCCTCAGAGAAGTAGAAGCACAATATGTCACAGAGATAGAAGACTTGGTCATCGTCAATTCTATGAGAAATGTAATCCGCAAAGATCTTAACTTTTAATAAACAGGTGATTAGAAATAGACAAGGATTCTGAGCCAAGTAACATCAATATGCTTTGCATCGAGTTCATTCTGTATTTAGTCTAAGGCAAGTTGCGACATATGAACTGCCATTTCTAAAAGTGTAGAGACAGAAACCAAAATACACCAACTAAAGAACAAGAGGATGACAAGTTGCACTAACTGGTTTCCACAAGCTGACTTCATTCAGTTGCTCACTTCCCACAGAATAACAATCCTTCGTATCCACATGCATCCAACAACTTCACTCTGCAGCGAAATACTCGTATACTTACGAGCAAACTCACTACAGAAAGTAATGCAGGGTAATCTCAAACAGCATTCAGCAATACATTCTTCTCCATTTTCAAATACCATTTCTCAGCTTCACCATCTAGCTAAAAAGCCTAAACATCCATACTCAATCTGTTCTGGGGAAAATTGGGTTCGGATCAAAAGAGCGAGGAAAAGCCTCCTCTCCCAGCTACTCCTAGAAATCTTCAGAATACAAGCTGCATAGCATTCTCTGTTTGGTAGGCAAGAAAGTTACCTACTTTATCATCGAGGATACTCCTATTCATTGACTTAATTAAATGCAAAAAAACAACTCCATAGAAGAAAAGAACAGTAACATAGAGAGGGTACCTCTGATGAAGAGCTTGGAAGAGAAATGTCTTTTGGAGAAGAGGAAGAATTGGGAAGTTGCGGAAGAGTAATTAGGTTTCAAAGCCGGGAACATTCCTCTCATCGCCGCCTGCATTTTTGTGGGTCGTCCTAAGCAGAGAGAGAGAGAGCTATTCAGTGACATAGGTTTCCAGTCAGCCGCTGAGATCTCGCTACCGATCAACCAACCAAACAGAGGAAAGACTGAATTCGTGAAATACCGGCCACCATCAACACACCATCCTCCTACACAGAACAGCGATAAACAAACACGAAAATAACGCATAGGTTTGATTTGAAAAGTCGGAGAGTACGGGTAGGCTATGTTGGGCCTAGTGGTTGTGGAATGGATCATGTCCATGAAGCCGCAACTCTGGCCCATGGACAGATCAATTGGTATGCTAATGCTACTGTGATTTGGCCTTCTAGGCCCACACTTACCCTATTTTTATTAGCTTTTTTAGTTTCGATCGGCAAAGCATTGAGTAATAAAAATAAGAGGTTTGAGGTTTAATGATCTGATCGGGGTCTGATCGGTTTGAACCATTTTAGACTTTTTTAAAATATATATACAAATAATGTAGTAATTAAAGATTTAATGACTGAAATGAAATTTATCTTACATGTAACTATTAAAAACTTATTTTCCAAAAAATAAATCTACCTAACTTTAATAACCCAACCCACCATCTCCCTTCCTTCGTTCCTCTTCCTCTCTCCCCCATCTCTTCTTCTCCCTCTTTAGGGGTAAGATCGGGAGGCTTTCTGGAGGTCATTTTGAAGCCCAAATTAGGTCGGACCAGGTCCAACCGGGGGTCGATAAGGGTTTAACAACCTTGGTCTCTTACTAGATTGGACTGAATTAACGATAGATAGTTTTTAACGATAAGTCGTGTTTGTAAAATTGTACCACCATTTCGATCGAGTAAACCTCCTACCAAAATTCAAACCGATAAACAGTTTTTAACGCTATTTAACGGTTAAACTACGATTAGACAATAAATACAACATATAGACCACAGTTTCAAATTCAAAAAGCAAACCAGAATGGCAGAATCATTACACTTTGATATTGAAATTATTGCTTCCACTAACTTTAAATCGTACCAACGATCAAATACAACACGTGCTTCTCTGAGAGATATATAATAGGGTTTCATTAAACTGGTATTCAAAATGGCGAAGGAATATTAATGGAGTAGGTGAGTGAGCTGGTGCACCAATGACCACACAGTAACGTGCATGCATCTCCCTCCCTCCTGTAGTAATTTTGATTACTAGTGATTAGTGAAGGTTAGACATTAAACAAGGTTATTTTGTGCTTAGAGTACAACTTAAAGGTGTTGAAGGACATTAAATAAATTTTTTAAAAAAAATGGTCCCAACCAACAATTTCAATTGAATTTTTCTTCATCACGATATATCATCTATAAAAGACAGGCTTCGTCACCTCATTTTATTCATTCCATCTTCTCCATTCTTTCCGTTGTCACTCAATTCAGTCTTTCTCTTTGTTTAGCTTTGAGAGAAGCTCTCTCTCAAAACATGACGAACAATTAGTAGAGGGTCTAGATGTCAAGTATGTTTTATCCAGAGAGAAGTATTGGTTTGGTGAAAAATAAAGTAGTGAGGTTATTTCTTTTTTCATAAGTGAGTTTGATTTCAAAGTTCGAACTCATATTGCGTTATGGATGTTATAATAACTTTCCAGTCTTTCTGAACCATTTTTTTTTTTTTTTGGTAGTCCTACTATTTTGCTATTGAATGTGGAAGCCACCAAGTTTCAATCCCTTGTCATTGATCGAGTACTCACTCTTTGCTCTAGAAGGGACTCTCCATAGAAAATCATGGAGAAGCCAGAGGAGCACCTTCTTCTTTTCACCTCTATTTGTGAAAAGCTCAAGGGCCACAATCAAGCCCTCCTCAAGTTCGCCAGCTCTTAGAGTCCTGCAGAACTTGTATCAAACTAAGCTATGAATCCTCGAGTTAGCCAACTTGAATCTTAATATCCTTTCAAGGTATGCTACCATTGTCAATCTCATCATTTCATTCAAAAGATACTATTCCAATCTATGCACAATAAGGAGTCAGTTATCAATATATTTCAGTATGTTCACCGGCTCGATCTTTTTGTGTATGTAAATGCAGTTGGCGCTACAAAGAGGATCATGTTGCATGTGCAGTGGAGTGTTACATGAAGCAGCATGATCATGGTGCTTCCCGCCGTCGAGTGCTATATGAAGCAGCATGATCATGCCCGCCTCAGCAGTTCAGTGCTACATGAAGCAACATGAAATGTTACTTCATCGGTGGAATGTTACATGAAGCAACAAGTCTCATGACATTGCGACCGTGGAGTGTTACATGAAGCAACAAGATCGGTTGCATTGATAGAATCAGAGGCGGACCTACGGTGCTCCAAGGATTGTCAACTGACAGACCTTAGTTTTATGTTTGGAATAAGCATCAGTGGAAATTTAAAGGTTATTAATGATAGCAATATTGGAATCCAATTCAGTTTGACAACCCTTAGAATATCTAATTAAACGTTTCCTTTTACCTGTAAACCAATGGTTGTTACAAAATTAAATAGTTTATTACTAATTCTATTTAAGGAACTGAATTTATTTTCAAAATATAATTTACTTTATTAGTTCTCGTTTTCATTTATGGGGAACCCCTTTGACTACCCACTCCACCCAAATTCTCATCTGGGCGAGCAATTTGTGAATTATTATTTGATTAAGAGGTAGATTGGATGATGAAATGGGATGTGGTAATTTGGTTCAATTGTCGTAAAATAAAGTAAATAGGTTCAATTGCTTTGTTTGGCAATATAAAATGGGGATGCATTAATTTGACCAAAGCAATTGTCTTGTTTTGCATCAATTTGAATTGATAGGGGATGGACAAATATTTTGAAATGATGTGTCCATTATCACATGAGATAATTTTAAAAAATTTGGTGAAATCGTCTCATTTCATAAATTCATTATCTAAATATCCCCTAGTTTTGTTGAAAGTTGTGTGAATCGTAACATAAACAATAATTTTATTTTGAAATTTTTTCCAAAGATGGAAACACTATGTGATTTATTTTGAAAATAATATGTTGTGTACTTCATGAATAAAACCGTATTGAATTGTATATGCGTCTTTATTATTTTATTTTTGAATACCCTTATAAATTTTTTTGGGTCCGCCACTGGATAGAATGTTACATGATGAAGTGACATGGCCTATTGGCGCGCAACCGTCACTCGATGCATTGAACAGTATTATAGAGGATGATTGGATGAAATTTATGAACTGAGAAATTTATGAACCTATACCCATGCTACAATGTATGATATTTTGGTTGGATCACCAACAACACACTTTCAAGATATACAACAAAGCTTATTTGTATTCATATATGATGGATATACATGTTCTTGACATTTAATTTACATGGTCAAACATTGAAGAACAAAAAGGCACGATGATATATAAGAAGATGATATCAACTCATGTGCAGTGGTTATGCAATTTCATGGACCGACTATCAATACATCTTTTTTCAAGCACTTAATTGACTCGTGAATCGCGAGATTCCTTTTTCTTGTTAATTATTTTATTCTATACTCCGATCGGTACTTAAAGAGTTACCATATGCCTGACAATTGAGCATATGGCGGTCACTACCCACGTGACCATTTTTTAGATGGATCATTTATTCAAATTTCAATCAATTAAGTACGATCTCGAATCAGATCTCAAGACACATTTCTCAACACGCGAGCCGAGGTTAATTGATAAACAATTCATCTTGAATCATATCTCGGGTACAAAAGATGGAAGATATCTTGCAGTACATGCGAAATCAGTAAACAAAACCGGGAATCACATTTTTCCTTCAGTACTAGGAATCTTTTTCTTTTTGTAATTGTACCAGGAATCTTTGGACAATGAACAAGGGACCAAAAATCCAGCTGCATGCAACTAGGCACACATAATTATTAATTAACAGCGTTCGTGCTAAAGGTTAAGTACTATAATAATGATCAGCTAGCTGTATTCATATCTTTGAAAGAACATGTGATTCCTTTTGGATGTTAAATTACTCTCTTGTAGACACTGTAGCATTGGCATATCAACATCAACATTCAACTTGGCCAACTTGAGGAGGACTTGGAAGACACTGCAATCAATGTTGGCACATAATTGTGTTTTTTATTACACTGTTCAATGCCCGTTTGACGTATTTTCAACCATTAGATCAACGCGTAGGTGTCTCCACTTAATAACAAAGATTTAGAAAGACACACGAACAAGGGTTTGTTCTAGTGGTAATACCACTAGCCTTGAATCCGGAGGTCCCAGGTTCGAATCCCTTCAGTAGTACCTAAACAAAAAAAAGATTTAGAAAGACACAAATTATAATTAATTAAATACCACCCCACAGAACTACAATCTGCCTATAAAAGGCAAAGCTTCAGTGCTTCACACCCACTCCCCTCATCTCCTTCTTAAATCTTAATCCCATCTTCTTCTTTCTTTCACTCTCTCCCTCGGTTCATTTTTTCTTCTTCTCTCTCTACTTTGCTGTCAGTGAGGAAATGGGTTTGAGAATCATACTTTAAACTTCTTCCGACAACTTGAGTTATTAAGATCAATATCTCGATATGGTATTATGTAATGTTAATTCATTGTGAATGAATAATATTCACAATACTGTCCAGCCAGCAAGGTGAATTCGATATGGTATTAGGTAATGTTAATTCATATCTGAAGCCACGAGAAAGGAGAGAATGCATCAAACGAAGCTATTGAGTTCACAAAATCACATCCAACTGCCTTCCTCAAGTTAGCCAACTTGAATCTTAATGTCCTGCAGAACTTGTATCAAACTAAGCTACAAGTTCTCACCAAGTAAGTCAACAGCAACACTGGCTATATACATTAATTTGTCTCTGTAGCATAAGTATGTTATATTATATGTACATTGAGAAGCTCAGGGCTTCCTTTTGTGTGAAATTTGCAGTCTGAACAGCAAAGAGGACATGTTGCTTGGTCTGTCGAATGCTACATGAAGCAACATGAACAATTCGCTTCATCAGTGTAATGCTACGTAAAACTAACAACATGATTGTACTACTGCCGCAGAGTGTTACATGAAGCAACACAACGTATTTGAGACAAGAGGCAACCGATGCATTAAGGGACGATTCGGTGAACTAGAAGCTAATTAACCCATCCCACATCCATGTTGTTGCTGTACCAACATTACACTTTCAAGATGTGCAACGAAGCTTCATATTCTACTACCAGATAGCAACTTCTAGTGCTTACCGCTCTACCAAAACTTAAGTAAATGTAGACATTATTGTTTGTGGACATCAACCACATTTCTAGTCTTTGGCTACTGTACAATGACACGAAAGAATAACCTCTAATTCGTCATTTATGTAGATATACGCGTGAATGTATCAAAAATAAGTTCATCTTAATAAATCTGACTTGTTGGAATAAGTTCCTAATTTCCACATCTTTCCTTTTACCAACTAAGATAGATGAACACCTCAATCAGACCAAACAAAGACCTCAAAACAATAGGGATCACTGAACAAACTTACAAACAATCCAGGCTTTTGTTTCCGAAGCAGCTAACTACAGCAATATATTAAACAGCAGGGGAAAAAACTGATATACAAGTTGGAAGGTTATATGCCCCCCAAGTCATAAGAACAAACTTGAACTGCACATTCGATCAAAAACTTGGTCAAGCCAACGAAAGCATTCACCTGTCTCCTCTTGATTGCTCAAGAGCTGTGCGCATTCAGCAATGCTTTATATACCATGTCGATGAATTGATTGTCCTGTCAATACATAACCCCTCTTGCTTGTCAGACACATGATTGAAGAAGGGTAGACAGTGATATGAACAAAATCATAATAATCAAGAAAACAAAATACAGAGATAGATATCGCCTGGCAAAATCTGTATAGAGCGGATCCTACACTGGCACGAGACTGACCTGAACAAGGACAAGAAGTGCATCCCGGACTTTGTCTTTGCTGATCACCGGCCCATAATTCGCGTCCGGAACAGAAGCTGGAGTGAGAGAGGGTGGTGGAGTGGGTGGTGGGAAAGGCTGAAGTAATGGAGCACCATAAGGACGCTGTAGACTTGCTTTTGGATTGAGTGGAGGAGCACTAGGCACAGATGAAGAAGCAGCAGGAGGCACTATCGAACGCGAAGAAGAGGACGGTGAGAGAGGGGGGCCAATGAAGAGAGAAGGGTTTACAAGATTAGTAGCGGTCCAATTGTTGTTGGCAGCAACTTCAGGGGAGGCATCAAGTAGTGGCATTAAAGGGCTGGATGCTGGTGGTGGTGATGGTGTCTGCATGATTGGCAATGAAGATGACGAAACAACAGAGGTGGGATGAGAAGGTATGGGGACTAGGGCTGGAGACTGGTAAGGTTGTCCAGCAGTCACTGCGTTTGAGGCATTCCCGGTGGTCATAGCTGTCTGCAACCATACAAGCACGATCCGCATGTTCAGCACTTACAGATGATATAGCTTTTTTTTCCTTTTTAAGGACAGCTTACAGACGATATAGCACAGTTTTAGCAACTTCCACCATCTTGTAAGAAGACATACTTAAGCTGTTTAGACTATCAACACACAAACTAATTTAGTACTAGTAAAAGACTATTGATTTGAAGACAGGAAGCAAGGATTTACCAAACTCGCATATTTTTGTAAGTAGCAGGACATAAAAATGTAAGAGACTTTCATGAGTAGTATAAGTGATTCAGAGAGTAATATCTCACACTAAAGAAGTTGATGAACGCAGGATCATCAGGCACATCAGCAACACCTGAGACTGCAGCAGATGATGGCTCCAAGGGACCATCCATAACTGCCATAGTTGGTACTGCTTCAAGTTCTTCAAACTCACTGCAAATAGGTACATGACCCCATCAGACACTCTTTGACCTTTTAACTAACACAAATATTCGAAAACAGATAATAGTTCAACAGGCCGTGAGGGAATATGACCAAACTAGCACATCCAGCAAATACAAGTCATGCTAGTGGAAGTTCGAAGATCTTTCTCCGCACAGATCTTACCAATCGGACATAACATAGACAATTTTTTTAGAGAAGTACCAGCCTAATGCTACATAGACAATCATGACAATTCCAAGAGGATTTGGCAGAAAGAAATATATTTCTAGTTATGGATAAAATAATTCAGTAATCACCTCTTAGTTGACGGAACCTTTGACCTTGGAGGCACCTTGGCATATGCATTTAGTATCCTGAGGATGTCACCAAAGCATATAGGGTTAGTAACTTGCTCATGGAGAAATTACCTTGACAAACGTGCTCTGTTATCCACTACATTACCAAGTCCCAGGGACTTGCTCCGCATGTTAATAAGCATTCAGGATATTACATTAAAAAGAAGCAGCAAATGGAGGGGGTATGCAAAAAAGGAAAGATTAGCATACAAAATCTATAGATTTATCAGAATACCAAGAAAGATAGGAAGAATTAATACTTCCACTGATCATCACATCCCAAGGAAGGGGAAAAGGGTAATGCAAGCTCAACTAGTTGGCAAAGAAAGAAGCAAAAGCAGTTCAAATCTCTATAGCTATTCTTCACGCAAGTAGCATGTTACCTGCTAAACAGATTGGCAACCTCTTCACATTCTCGTGAATTGTAGAACCAAATTCCATTCACTTCCTGGGCACCATTTCGATATAAGAGATATGGAACTTGGATCTCAAACTCAAAATCTCCCAAGAGATTCTCCACCAAGTTATCTGCTCCACAACAAGAAAAATCAGCATAAACATACTGGAAGAAACCGCTGTGCTTTCCCATATCAACTTGTCAAGGCTAGCAATCCCATGGTTGAAATGAATATCATTGTTATCCATTAAAGCAGTGCAATTAGCAGCCAAAATTGCATTGGACTGCATACTCCAATGAGACAAAACTCACCTAATCACCCCCTCCTTAGTACTCCTTTACCACACTAAACCCCGCCTTCTATCGTGCTATCTACACAATGAGGAAATGAAGATAGCATGTGCTAAGACAAGACTAACCTGTATTGCGCCGATTCATCACAATAAACTGAAACCGCGGCTGCGTATTTCTGCAAACAAGAACCACCACCGAACCCAACAAAAGCGATGGTAATGCCAGAGGAAATTCATTAACATACAGAACACAAGCATGCATCAGTAACAAAAGAGCACTCAAGACACTCCAATTCTGCTTAGCGTATACCAATATCAGCATCTAAAAATGTACAACGGACTCACCTCTTGACAACGAACAGAGATCCTTCTACATCCTTGCGACTCTGCAAACGTAGCCATTGCACGACAAGTAACATAAAGCGTTCAACAACATGAGAAAGAATATGGGTAAATAAAACAACGGAAGCAGAAAGACGGCGAATACGCGGGAAGGAACAGGAAGAGAAAAAGAGAGGACAAACCCATTGGCTAAGCTCGATGTTGAACTCGTAGAAAGTGACGTGAGCGGCAGTGATGAGGATTTCCTCCACGAAAGGGTCGATTCGCTGGAGGACTGTTAGGTTGAGGAGCTTGGTGCTCTGCTGGTCCAGATTCGGCATCAATTTCCCGTTCTGCGACATGATTTTCCTTCGCGCCCTTTTTTTTTTTTCTTTCTCTCCCTTTTCGGCCCTGAGAATTGAGGTTGCCTTTCGATTATTCTGCACAGCTAATTGGAGGAAAGCTATGGAACGAATCGTCCTTGAATCCAAAAACCCTAGAGGGGATTGGAGATTACCGGCGGGAGGGAGGAAGGCAGCGGAAGAAGAAGAAGAATGGCAGTGACGACGAGGAGAGAAAGAAAGACGAAACTGAAGTAGGAGGTTGGATACGATACGACAATTGTACCTCGCGAAACGGCAGAGTTTGGTGTGGAGGCGGTGGGTACAAAATGGTTTGTTTATGTTAGTTAAGTTTGTTCAAAGTCTCTTTGCCGATATCACAAGCTTCCTGACTACCTGTCCATTTTTCTTCATTTCATAAATTGTCATTTTTTATTTTCAAAATCATAATTAGATTTATGAAAAAATCACAATGAATAAAACAATGCTCTATAAATAATTATATGATGATTAGAGGGGGGTCATGTATTGACGTGGTTCAAAATCGCATTAAATCGTTCAAGAATTTAAGAACTGAATTCTAATTGTTTTTCTCTTAGATTCCGTTTTAATCGAACCGTGAATGATTTGATCTGCCCTGACCAGATTAATTGACCTGAAAATTCTTTTCTAAAATTATTATTTTGTAAGGAGAAAAAAAAATCAATTGTTTTGTATTTGAGTCTTAAATGGTGACTCAGCAAGATGTGATTACTTAGTTGCCACCGGATAATGTTTTTAAAGTTTTATAGTTGCCACAAGGTTGTCAAACCGGTTTGTGCCAGTGTGCCCGATTTAGCAAGTGGAATGGTTCGACCGGTGGTGCATACCGGTTTGTGCCGGTTAATATTACAAATACTCATATTTAAACACGACATTTAACGTCAATACCTAAATATTTGTACTTGATTCCCACAAATAACATCAACATTTAACTTTTTAACAATAATAAATTACTTTTTATCAATTAAATTTACTAAGATAAAATCATTTTACTTGGAGATTCGTATATCGATCATGCCGGTCATACCGGTTTTATGACTGGTATAGGTTGAATCAGGTTCAACCAGTGGCACTCCGGCCGGGCGTGACAACCATAGTGCCACCTGATATTAATTTCACTGTTTTACCGTCCACGGTTGATTTTCTTCAAGAAGTAAAATTCAGTTAATATTTCCGATGAAATCCAGCTGAGGAGGATTTGAAACCCTTCTCACCGTCGTCTCTTGTCAGTTCTCATTCAAACTTCTCGGTCTCACAAAGCTAAAGTTCACTCAGTCTCTGCTCTTTCACCCTGTCCAGTTATTCGCTTATCCAGTTCCCTCCATAGTCGATTCCAGCTTTCGGAGCAAAAGAGAAGGGCAAAGTCGGCTTCTTTCGTGGTATGACCTGACTCTCTCTGGTAGTGAATTCTGGGAATCGTTTGATGAATTGAGTCGATGTTATATGTTTCTCTCGTTCGTTCGGGAAGGTGAAAAGGGGGTGTCTTTATTGCTAACGTTGCTTTTGGGTTTCGAGGGAATGGGATCGAATAACTTATGGAAATTAGGGTTCTTATGTAATTTACTTGCAATGGTGGCATTGCAGCGAAAGGGACAAAAAGATGATGGTGACTACAATGCTGCTCAGGAGCAAAATGGCTGCTGTAAAGGTGGCAGCTGGAGTTGCTCCACACAAGGGATTGAAATTGATGGAAAGATATTTCAGCACACAAGTTCTCAAGTCTCCGTTGTCTTTGATGTCTCTTGACATGCCTGACATTTGGGCTCCTCCCTCTCCCACCGACTACTGCTCTCCATCTTCGTCCCCTTGTAACTGTGAGTCAGATGCATATGCTTTTATGTAACACTTGGGAGCTCAGTGATTCTTGTTATATGGTTTAATGATCATGTTACTTTCCCTGTTCACCCGTAGTTAGTGGACAGGAGACTGCTGCTGTTATTGATGGGAAGTCAATTGCAGAGGAAATTAGGTCAGCAATAGCTATTGAAGTAAGCAGGATGAGGAGATGCATAGGAAAAGTTCCTGGCTTGGCTGTTATTTTGGTGGGACAGAGGCGCGACTCTCAGACATACGTTCGCAATAAGATCAACGCATGTGAAGAAGTTGGGATCAAGTCCCTCTTCAGTGAGCTTCCTGAGGATTGCACAGAAGATGCTGTTGTGAGAGAGTTGTTGCGTTATAACAATGACCCGTCAATTCATGGTGTTCTTGTTCAGCTCCCTTTACCAAAAGTAAGTTCCCTCATCCGTGATATGTATTTATATATCTCTGACCATAAATCTCTTCATAGTTGAATCATAGTTAGTTGATCTATGGCGAGTCAGCTGTTGCTCGAAACTGTCGTTTGGCTATGGTGTTCTTTATGCTGGTCAATAAAGCCTTGCAAACCAATTTGTTTGCTCCTTCTAATTCAGTTTCTGCATAATTTTGTCGTAAAACCCTGTGCAGCCATAAGCATTTAACATAGATTTCCTTTCACATCTTACTAGTGTACTTTGATGTCATTGTTCTATTTAGGAGATGTACATTAGTTTCAAGTCTTGTTCAATTTAATTTATCTTTCAACATTTGCCTTGGGATAAAAAGGATTTCTTTCTTGTTTGCTTCTCATGCATAGCAATCTATCTCCTTTCTTGTTTGCTTCTCATGCATAGCAATCTATCTCCAGCATTTGGATGAAGAGAAGATTTTGAATATGGTGAAATTAGAGAAAGATGTGGATGGCTTTCATCCAGTAAACATTGGGAATCTTGCAATGAGGGGAAGGGAGCCGTTGTTCGTCTCATGCACTCCCAAGGGTTGCATCGAATTGTTGATAAGGTCAGGAGTGGAGATCATGGGGAAGCATGCTGTGGTCATTGGAAGAAGTAACATTGTTGGTTTGCCTACATCCTTGTTGTTGCAGGTGCTACTACCTCCCTACTTGTTCTAATAATGAGCTCCTCTTGCCTGGCCAACTTACCAATACTAAAAGCTGCTCTTTTTCGTTTCAACTTCCACAGAGACACCATGCAACCGTCACCATCCTCCATGCATTTTCAAAGAGTCCCGAGCTGACCACCCGAGAAGCTGACATTGTGGTCACAGCTGCCGGGGTGCCCAATTTAGTGCGTGGTGACTGGTTGAAGCCGGGTGCAGTGGTGATTGATGTTGGGACATGTCCAATAGAGGTAAAATAATTTTGATTTCCTCCGAAAATGATTGCAGTTTCTCACCAGCTCAGATATTGAAGCAGATCTTGTGAAAATGACAGGATCCGAGCAGTGAATTTGGTTATCGGCTCGTAGGAGACGTGTGCTATGAAGAAGCAGCTAGAGTAGCATCGGCCATAACCCCTGTTCCTGGAGGAGTTGGACCTATGACGATTGCTATGCTTTTAGCCAACACTCTGGATGCGGCCCAGCGAGTATGTGATTTCAACTGAAGAGACGTTGTCTATGTTACTTGGCTATTGCATCATTTTTGCTTTGTGCTATTATTATGGCACTTCCAGTAATACAAGAAAAGCTGGTTGTAAGTAAGCAGTAAGGTGCTTGAATTGAGATGTTAGATTAACTGTAGGTCTCAGACATGTAACATGAGAATTCCTGTTAAATAGATTAGTTGGAGTTTAGAGACTACTTAACGCTTCATTGTGCCTTGTAGTCCGGAAAGGCGCCAAATGCGAATGTTAGTATTTACCAGGGTTCAAGAAGGCGCGCCTAGGCGCACGCCTAGGCTCAATTAGGCGCTAGGCGGTGGAGGATCGCCTTGACTTGGCCATAGGCGTTGAAAAAGGCGCTGGTAGCGCTTAGTAGGTAGGAATAGCGCTTAGTTTGCGCCTAGTGGAGAGAAGGCGTGCCTGGGTGAGCTTAGGCGGTTAAACCCAATACTCTTCGTTTTGTCCTAGAAAATCATAAACTTGCCTCTTGCCCTAGAAAATCAGAAACACGGAAAGTAACATCTGCTGTCGCCCTAGCTCTCGCCCCATTTGCTGCTCTCTGCCGCCGCAGGAGAAAGTCATCGATCACTCTTCTCGCCTTCACACCGCTCCGCTGCTATAGTGGGAAATAAAGTCGAAACTCGTCAATTTCTGCTCCTTCCTTCTCCTCGGTACGCAACTCAAGCTTCTTGCCTCTATAAGCACCTATTAGCAGATGATTGGTCACTATTTGCTTGTTATTTGTTATGTTAAGTGTTTACTGTTAAGAACTAGGCATTGCTAATTTTATATGCACTTGGATTATATGAATTATTCCAGAAAACAGGAAATATTTGAGAATTTTTCCATTTATGCTCTAAACGCCTAGGCTACGCCTAATCGGGCAAGGCGCAAGTCAGGAGTCGAGCGCCTGCCTTACGCCTAGCGCCTTTTAGAACCTTGGTATTTACTATTCAGTCTTCAAAATCATGAATAGTAAACTCAGCAGCCTTCATGTGATGTGATATGATCATGCAGCAAAGAGAAAACAAAAGAATTCAACAACCCAGATTGATTCGAACCTTTCTGCCTATGCCATTCCAAACGTCACAGGAGCATGTTGCAAAGCAGCAAAGGCGACTCAACGTGTAAAGTAGGGGTGGGCATTGGGTGGGTCGGGTGGATTTTGACCATAAAATGCACCCACCCGCGCTTAAACGGATTGATAATTTTTAACCCACCACCCACCCACATTTAGTCTCGGGTTGGGTCGGGCGGATGGTGGATGATGCGGGTGGGTTTGTGTGTTCACCCACATCACAATGTATATAATATAAACGAGTCAACTTGACATGATAATAGGTGAAGAGAATCATCGGGGGAAACAAGAAGTTGAAATAGGGCGAAAAATGTCGAATTAGTTCTTAACTTGGATAGAAATTCTATTATGAAAGAGTTTTCTACAGATTGAGACGATTATTAGGTGCAAGGAACTAATGAAAATAATTCCACAAAGGAAAGAGCGGTGATCTAAGCACAAGAATTAGAGGAAAAAGTAAAGGGAAGAAGAGGGGATCTCTATTTGGAAGGTTGGCTTTGAGGTTCAAACTCCAGAAGCAGTCCGAGTTTATATCTAACGTCTCCACTCTCCTCTCTCTAGCGCCAACGACTTTGATCTTTTTGCTGTTGGGTTGAGCGGGTCACCCGCACACTCACCCACAACCCACCCACCACCCGGCGGATGGCTCCCAGCGCAACCCGTCACCCACCCACAGACCCACCCACTTAACCAAATTCGGGTCAAATGCGGGTGGGTCGGCCCAAACCCGCGGATGATCCGCCCACATGCCCAGCCCTAGTGTAAAGCATAAATTTTATTGATTAGATTCTCGGCAAACATCCTTCCAATTTCTGACGAGCTTCGGCTAAAGAAAATGGACAAAGCATCTCTTTGTTTCTTCTCTTCTCATCTCTCCCTAACATTATATAGCTAAACAACGGGGGTAAAACAAGCAACCATCCAATAGATTAGCGACCAATTCTTCCCCCCAGCTCTATAAAATTACGTGGGCGTGGCAGTAGTAGCAGTGGTAACTGGTAAGTAACAGCAGGGGCGAAGTGGGGAAGACAGTCACTCAGTAGCCTTGCCTTTGCGCCTGCTGCTGCTGTCTGTTTCCAAGAGGTAACATACCATGGAATCAACATCATCCCCAAATATGCTGTAAGCTTCGATTGCCTGTAGATAGCTGAACCCCATCGACAGCACCATTTGCATGCTGCTGCTTAGCCCCCCATCATGGGTACCAGGTTCTCGAGCCCCTTTAGCCTTTGTCTCGCTCCCGGACGACCCTGTATCATGATATCCAAATCGAAATGTTATCCAGATACATATGTAACATCAAGCAACTTACAGTAAGGGAATGAACATGGACAAGAGTAATTATGCCAGTTTAGACAAGTTCTTTTTAACTTACAAGCTCCAGAGGATGATGGTTCAGCACCCGAGCTAGAAGATTCCTTACGGCCGACTTGCAGTTTCCACTTGTCATTAGCAATATACTCGGCTCGAGAAGCGTCCATCACCATACGTTCCATCTCCTTTTCGGTAAGCTCGAGATCAGAGTAAAACCGTCCTTCAGCAACAAGTGCCTGCCAGTAGACAATATGTAGAGACAGAAGAAACAATTAGTTGGTAGTCAAAGTCCAATCAATACCTTTAAAACCTGCTATATCGTATGCCAAAGGGTTACATTATCGATCTGCTGGTCCTGCTGAGCCTTGATAGCAGCTTTGACTTGATCCTTGTCCACATTTCTCTGACCAATCAAACAAGTTAGACAGGAAGTGTTAAAATGTCTGCAATCCTTCTAAAAAAATCGACTGGAAGGGCAAGGCACAAGAGAAGCTTGGAAAAATACCCCTCGAAGAGAGCCAAAACCAAGTCCAGCACCAACAGTCAAACGTCGTGGGTCGACAAGAGAGTTATAATGGTTACCATGATGATAACTCAGCCGTACAGGTGGCGTGTCAGTATTGTAGTTGCCATGAAATATATTGATAGGCTCTACATTACCAATTTAGTTACAGTCAGTATACACAATCAAAGAAACAAAACTTGGGAAATCCACCAGTTCATTTTTTTCACAGGAATACCTGTGCTATAAGAATAAATATGGATTGGACGATTATACATTTCTGACATGGCTTGAATCTCCACGTTATTACCATAAACCTGTCATCAACGAGACCAAAAAGTACACTGTATCCTAAGCAAAGAAATTTAATGGGATGCAGTCTTTGTTCTGATGAACTTTACAAGATGCTAAGTGAACAACAAGCACAGACAGACAGGTATCGTACCTTGTCTCTTCTCTTCCTCTTACAGTAGGAGGAAAACCCTTCTGTAATAAATTGAGAAAAGTGGTCTCTCTCCCGCTCCTACATGAAATAGAACCCCTCATAAGCAACATCCAGAGAACCAAAATGCTTGCATTGTACCCAACCTGGGCACTGTTAAACTATCCAGATTTATTATTTGCTAAAACCACCAGCTGACAGCCTGACACAGTATACAAAATCTATTCCATTGGTAAAAGTTAACATAAGCAGATTATAACTTGAAAAGTTGCGGTGCTTTGACACGTGGAATTTATTTGTCTCAACTTTTTCGTGTGTGATGCAACTAATTGCCACAAAGTAAACCAATCTAGGAGACTAGGAAATAGTGATTAACCATGTTCCATAAAACCATCAACGTAAACAATACATTTGATAAACAAGTCAGTAAAAGGAGGATACGCTTACCATATAGTCAATGCACATTTGCCTAACCAAATCATACGCCTCGGAGTCCCCATATACTTGATCAGCCACAGCACGAAAAAGACAATTTCCATCCTCCAACATTCTTTTGACTTCTAGTCCTTTAGATCGCCTGATGTCGATCTCAAATTGACGCTCTCTTTCCTGTATCAGTAATGATATCCAGTTTTAGATTAGTAAATCTACTATGAAAATGGAGCTGCAAAACTGCATCATGAATGCTCAACTATGACAGCACAGGATATCATCCTGCTGTAGATACAACATACAAGAGAACAGGACTGCGGTGACCAGAAGAACTACAATACTGGACTGATTCTAATAATAGATTGGCTGAACTCATGGAAGTTTGAAATGGATTACAGAACCTGGATAGATAGCCAAAAAAATACAGCCTCAATGAGTGGTGCGAGATAACTCTTTGTTTCCAAGAGGAGATACTTAAAACTTTCAGACGAAGGTAGCGGCCAATGAGGCCAGTGGTGATAGATGATAGCCTAAATTTTAACATAAAGAAGATGGCTTCTCATACAAATTATATCATCAGAATCTAGCTTCCAATCAAAACCTATTAACCTAGTGACCAAAGTACAGCATACGAACTGCTCAAGGTAGACCAAACAGCCATCAATATACTGATGATCTGCGAACAAACAACAACAATAGCACATGTAACGCAAACCACTTACTGAAGCTACAATACTAAAGAAGATGAATCACAGAATGCAGTGTCTTACTTCTCAAACACAAATAAGCAAGATGTACACCACTTACCTATTTTAGAGCTCTCAGAAACTTACCAAATCACCATAAGAGGAAGCCAAACATGTATTTTGCTCATCAGCACTATTATACCCCTCATTTTCGACGTGAGATCTGGGAGATGACGGCCTAGACCCAGTGGGTGAACTCCTAGCAGAAACAACTGGCCAAGCATGTGCCCTTCTTGATGATCCAGTGCGAACAGCATCAGGACTTCCCAGTAAGCATCTCCTTGGATTAGAGCTTGCTGTTGACAGTCTGGGAGGTGGGACAGGTGGAGGTGGAGGTTGACTACCTCCAGTGCTGGCAGGGAAAAGAACACTACTTGAACTTTCACCCTCTACCTCAGACTTTCCCATTGCCATCACTTCACCTTTTATTGTATCTCCAGACCCTATAATTTCATCACTGAGTGCTCCCTCACAATCACCAGCATCATCACTCAGGCATTTATTTTTCTCACCGTGCTTGCATTCTGGAAGATCATCATTCTTCACCGCTTTATTTTCACTTGTTCCACATTGCTCCTCCAAGATTTCAACTACAACAATCTGTTCCTGCACCTCATCACTTATTTCTTCATCCTTCGCAGCCGGAAGAACTTGGTTGGTAGTAGCAGTAGCCTGAGTTTCAGGACGAGCAGCTGATGAAGACCCTGCTCTGCTCTGGTTGGAAGAAGAAGAAGAAGAAGAACCACTTCCTCGCTGGACCAAAATCCGAGTCATGTCTCTCGTGATAGTTTATTACTTGGAAGTATGTATTCAAGCTCAGGGACCGTCTTTACTACTCCCCCAAATGAACAAAACTTAGAGACATAAAAAGACAGCAGCTGACATTTGTTTGTCACGTGTCCTGGCCATGGGGGCAGTGATCCCTATTCCTTGGCAGAAGGATTTCTTCCAGCAGAGTGTGTTCAGCTCCTCGCCACCAACGAAGGATCTCTGCATTCCCCTGACAATTCTCATGAGACCCCAAACGTCCAACGGTAAGCAATTATAACCTTCTCTACGTAGTTGAAATTTAAACCCTGAATACTAAATCCCAAACTACACCCTTCAATGGCTCAAGCTGCAACCAAGAGAAGCCAGTCCAAGAAAATCATCAAACTGCTCTATTGAAACAACAAACTCTGGAAAGATTCGTTCTTTTCGTGATTAGGACATGCTTAGTTCACCACAATAACATAAGTGAAACCCGTAAAATAAAAATCAATAGAAGGAAAGAAAAAGAAAAACCAGAGAAAAGGAGGCAAGTTGCTCATGATGGACAAAGCGACAGCAAAAACCATCCAAAAATTATTCAACTCCAACATTTATTGACACAATGAGACCTAATAACCGCAGAGGTAATCATGTTTATTACTTAATCAGACAGAAAAGAAGACTGCAATCAGCCAAAAGGAAGCCTAAAAACACTGTTTGAAATCTAAACCTTTAACCAGCCAGCTTACTGAAGAAACCTCTCAAATAACTAACTTAACCGAAACTCGCCCCCACACTCGTAAGAAATAAAAGGACAGTAAAAATCCCCACTTTCTTCAGTATCGCCTCTCATCCCCACCAATTTCTAAGAAACCAAACATACCCAATAACCGAATCTAACAATACTATACATCACAAACAAGCCGATCAGATATCCTAACGGGAGACTAGAAAGCCGAAGCATTGTAAGGTAATGGTACGAAAAATTCAAAACATAATGAAACTAATAGAAAGAAGCGTCGAGTTGACTCAGGCTGAGCCAAAAAGACTGACCTGAAAGACGAACACCGAGAAGGAGAAAATCGCTCTTATTCGTCGTCGTCGGGATCTGTGGAAAAAGATCAAAGCTTCACCGATAGGCGATATATATAGAAACCGAGGGAGGATATTGGGTTCGATTTTTTTTTTTTTTTTAATTTAGGGTTTCGCTGGAGAGAACGATGAGAAGAATAAGAAGACGAAGAAAACGGGAACGGGGAAAGTTAAGCATGAAAATGAGAAAATAAAAAAGACTTGACGGGAAAGAAAGGAGGGGGAAAAAAGAAATAATAAAATGAATGAATAATGGGAGGCTAGCAGGAGCTTTGCCGTGGTGACGTGGACTTCATGATCGCTTACAGACGCACACGTGGCGAGTTCGCTCCTGGGCCGTGCAACACAAGTGAATCTACGTTTTTTCCCGGCTACTCTGTTATACAAGTGAAAACCGAAAAGTGAAAATTATTCTAACACAAAAAAATGTTAAGTGAAAATTAAATTTATATTTATTATTTGGCTATTCAAACCTAAAATCATCAAAATTTATATAAATAAAATCAACAAGCAAACCAGAAAAAAATTGAATGACGCAATGCCACACGAGCATTTTATGACTGACATAACTGAGATACATAATGCTCCGTGTTACTTTATATGAACTTCAACTCCATCAACAAACTAGCAAAATTTTTGAACAACTCATTCAATTTAACAAATACAATTATTGAAGTATCAAATATCGATAAAATCTTGTATATCTTTATATTAACATCGATAGAAAAAGTGATAGTTCATCAAAATAGATTTATGTAAATTTATTAGAAACAAACCTTCCATCGACATCGAGAAAGCTGTCACAAAATAATTACAGTCTTATAGATGCATGACCAAGACAAATCTAGTCGGTAATGTTGCTTAGGTGGAGTTCAGAGAAGGAACTAAACTGGGAAAAAAAATTCTTCTTTTTTTCTCATTTTAGAAATCAAAATAACGTATTTAGGATTCCCTCGACTCGAATCGAGCAACGACACTGTCTCCTAATAATATTCTAGGGGGTAAAAACAAGCAATCTGGCAGTGTTAAAAATGTAAGGACAGGTTGGGGACAATAAATTCGAAGTGTACGCCAGTAGATTTGATAGAAGCAGTGGCAGGCCAGGATGAGCTGGTCTGTTTGTTCGTCACTTGTCGGGCTTCCATCTTTCTGGATCCATCCGGGCCCATGTCCGATTCTTTACTTCCAGTTCCGGCACGATACCTCTTCTCTTCATTGACATTTTCACCCTTTGCCTCCCTTTATGCCTCTTTCTGTTCCTTTTCCGCTCCTTTGCCGATTGCCCCAAAGCTCCCCCCACAGCCGGCAAAGACTACTGTTTTGGTACCATTCTTTCTTCCAAACTCAGCGACCTGAATCGCCAACTTTCCTTCCACTTTGCCCTAACTAACAAAAGTTCACTATTAACTAGCTACAACTCGATCATGATGCTCACATTATCACCGTATCAATTTGATTGGTAACAAATCGTCTACACCGAATCCAACGACTTTAAACTCACGTGAGTGCGCGCTCACAAAAGTGTCTATGAACACAATTAACTTTTTCGAACTAGCCAAGTATCTTTACTGAATAATAAAGCAGCTGATTCCGACCCGAAAGTCTCAGGTTCGTATCGGTCTATGCCAATCGTTGTCCCACCCTATTGCCTGTGAAGAAAAGGATTCAGCCCCAGTACATAGATTTCTTCTACGGGTATACACTACTTTGGAGAGACATATAAAAAAAAGTCTACAATGTTGTACATGGGTGTTCCTATTTCTGAAAAGAATATTGAAACCCCTCAAACCCTAAAGGGAGGGGGTTCTGATGAACTAAGGAAAGGAGGTTTACTTTCATTTTCGTTTGCAGTATCGAGGGCTTTCCGCCGGAGGAGGGGGAACGCCAAACACCCAGTCAAGCACATTGAGGTACTTGGACCTGAAAACTTCCCTCTCCTGCGCGTAGCAATGCATGATTACCGCCGTCGACACGCTGAACACCACCACGTCTGCTCTCTTCAGCTTGGTGAACTGCGGGAGGTACCCTACGTCCGCCATGCACGTGAAGAAGCTCTCTATTGCCCGAGCCAGGCAGTAGAGCGATATCTCGATCCGCCTGCTCTTCTTCTCGATCCCCAATGCCAGCCCCGTCGGGAACTGTCCACGAGACGAAGCCTGGTTAAGTAGATAGTGCAAGGAGCAGGAGTAGAGAGTTTGTAGATGTGGAAGAAGAAGAAAAAATACCGTTCCCATTGCCACCATTGGAACGTTGCATCTCCTGAAGATTCTGAAGAGGATGCACGTCCACATCCTGGAGAGCAAATACAAGAGACAGGTTTAAGAAAATCAGAAAACGTTGAGCGAGTTTTAGTCAGCTAAAACGAGAAGACAGAAAAAGCTATCTAGAACTCCGAGATCTACTGGAGGACATAAGACTAACCAGGCAGATGAGCAATATGCAGACAGAAACAAGCTTGATCTCGCAGTTCCGAAAAGACCCTTCCCCAGTATACTGGAAGGCCTGGACAATGAACAGAGGCAAATGAGGTTACAAGATGTACCAAATGAAGTTAGAAAATCATCTTGAGCTAGTGAACCAAACTTCTGTTGGTGCACTTCAGGGAAAATAAATGTCACCCAACATCAACCAAAAAAAAGAACCGCATTTTGGCTGTTACTCACGAGCCACAACTTATGATGATAATAAATAAAAAGCTGACAGAAAATCTCAGCTGTAGAAAGAGAGCCTTCAAGTTCATTAAAGTTCCTACCTTTTTAAGAGATCTTGGCGGTGAACTATCAATGCAGGAATCAAATAAACAGGAAGATAAACTGGTAATGCTCGTTTGTAGGCTTCAATAAAAAAAGAAGCTACATGAGCAGTACAGGACTGATTCCCATGTATGATCTGCAAAATGGTATAAGAGTACACAATTCATCATTTGCATACTTTACTCACCACACAAGCCTCAACCAAAAAATCTATAGACATTTTTTATGCTAAAGATCCATAAACGTTTAAGACGAGGACTAAGTAATGAAGCACTTTTTTTCTAAAACAGGAGAAACCATTTCTTAACAGTAGTACAATCTCCTTTCTCAGAAAAACCTAAAGACTGTTTAGGACGCTATCAGTTGCCCACACCACGTAGGCATGTCCCCTGCATGTTTGGCTTTTCATGAACTAACATAATTCAGGAAAGTAATGGGGATAAGATCGAGTGAATAAGTGAGGGGGTAAAGTACAACCGCAGTTAATAGGGCAATATTGAAAGCAGTGTCATTGGGATGTGCCAGAAAGTGCAAAAGAAACTCAAACTTATACAAAACACTGAAAACAGTGTCCTTGCGATTTGCAGAAGGAGTGAATAGACCTACGTAAGAGTACAAAAAAACATCAAGAATTTTATGTGCAGCAGCAAGACATAACTGGGGGAAAAACTCAAGTACATTTGTAATTAAGAGAACAGACTGTGAAATGTGACAGGAGAATGGCCTGTATTGGAGTTATTGCATAAGAGAAACTTGGAACTAGAAGATAATGTCATAATGCTAATATGCAGTCCTAATCACGACCAATCGTTTTAAATTCTTTTTTACTAAACAAGCTCCAGATATGTAGCACGTGCAATGATCCCTGGCAAGAGGATAGGATGATCCAACTCATGAGTCTAAGACTACATAATCCTCCTAGATCTACTCACAAACAACAAGAATTGGAGGTAAATGAAATTTTGAACGGTTTTTATATCATCAATTCTAGATGATGCAGCAAAAAGATTGCACTGTCAAATCTTAAAACAACTAGGCAACAGGAACCTGAGCCTACAAGTAGATGCATAACAAGAGTTGCAAAGAACAGGGCTCATACCGAGCATGGGATTTTCATTTGGGGATCCAACTTGATATCGACACCTTTGGAGCTGTAGTGTCTCTCTATGGCATCCAAATTTGAGAAAGGCAAGCCACTCGCAATAGCTTTAACTCCTTGCAAAATAGCAACGTCCTTTCCGCCATGCTTGTTCAGAAAGGACTTGTACGAACGAGGCAGACTTTCTTGCTTCAATATGTAAGCCGACCTGAAACAAATCGTGCTTCTACTTCAATATAATTCATAGGAATCTGGAAACTACCCTCAATTGAACACATCAGAAACCGACCACAACATCAGAAGTACTTTTCAGTTTTCACTAGCTAAAGAACAGTGAGTACACAACTAAACCCATAACTACAAACTTAACTAGCATATCACTAATTGGGACAGCAATGCGAAAGAGGTCGAGAAACCAAACCCGAACTTCGATTTGCTACTGATTGCCTATAATGCAGAGGGAAAAGTGACCCAGTTGTGCAATCAATCAGACAGAAACTTTTCAAGCATAAACAGGAAGAATTCAACCAGACAGTCACTTAGAAGCATAAAAGAGTAAACGTACAAGATTTGCGAAGAAGAGAGACACATTAGAAATATGTCTCCGTGCTTCCAAGTAAGAGGCTTGCAGATTTTGCCAAACCGCTTGCTCTTGATCCCACAGCGGGAAGCCAACACAGCAGCGCGCATCAATATGTAAATCGCCAAGCTGGTATGCTGAGTGTTGGGCCCCGTAAGTAGCATGGAAGGCCCTGCAACCAATCCTGCTACAAGAGCTCTCCATTTCCCAGTCCTGAATCAAATTCCAGCTTCAGGAAGCAAAAACGGAACGACTGAGAGAGCTATGGAAACTACAGAGCAATACTTGCCTCCGGTGACCTCCCAGAGTGGCTATAATCTCGTCGACGGACGCAAACGTGCCGGCGAAAGTTCCGAGGAACAATCCGTATCTCAGCGTCTCCTTGACTGCTAGAGCTATGGCTTCACTGTTGGTGAACTCCTGAGGCTTCCTGAAGGAAATCGAAAGCGAATTGTTCAGACACCGACAGATGAGAGAGAGAGAGAGAGAGAGAGAGAGAGAGATTGAGGCGAATTGAGAGGCGAACCTGGTGCGGCGGAGGCGAGCGAGAATGGAGAAGAGAGCGAGGCCGCCTTTCAATCCGGCGCCGATAGAGAAGCCTTTTACGGAAGCAATAATTACTCTCCGGAGCTTCTCCGAATCGTTCAAATCAGCTAAATCGAACTTAGCGAACAGAGAAGATGAAGCGGAGGCAGAGTCAGAGCCAGAAGAAGCATGATCGCATCTCGCGGAATGCGAGCACTGTGGATCAAGACAAAACCGCTTGTCCTCGCCGCCGTCGCCGTGAAACACTCCGTTGCAGGAGGCGGCGGGTTGGTCACGGAACGGCGACATGGGGCTGAGGATTAGAGGCAGGATTGATTGGGGAAGAGGGATGGGGGAAAGAGCAGAGTGCAGCACCAATTGGTGGGAATGGATTTGAAAGAGAGAGAGAGTCAGAGAAGAGAGAAGACAGCGAGGGTAAAGTAGGAATTCCGGTAGCTCACCGGTGGAAAGGTAAGTAAGAGAGAGAAAGGAAAAAAGGAATCGGATTTGCCGTTATTCGACAAACGGCTGCAGCAGACAGAGTCAAACGCAGTACACTACCGAAACAAGGGGAAAAAAGAAGAAGACGACGACTAGAAGAGTTGGTTACCTAAAAGCACTGTATCGGAAAGTCTGGAAGAAATTTACCATTACAGCCCTCGAGTTGACTGAGCTGGCGGCGGGAGGAAGTGTAAGCTTTCACCGCCGGCCGACGGAATATGCCAAGCAGCTCACAGAATACCGCGGGAGATTTAGGAGGGGGAAATAATTGCACAGCATGGCCTTTCCCTATTTTTCCAGAAAATTTATTTATTTGAAAGCTTTAAATGTAGTCATTAAAGTAAGATTCTGACAGATAACTGTAAGGAATAATAAAAATTAAAACACAAACGTGACAGTTTTCTATCAACTGGTTTATTCCATCAAAGTACCCTGCCACAATGTTAATTACAGAACCGGTTTTAACTGTGAAGCCTCTCTTCCTATGTTACAAAGCCGTGCTTGCCTTTTGATTATTATACACACTAAAACACCAGACCAACTGAAAGCCTGAAACCCTCTTCCTCTCTCTCCCAAGGGCAAAAGAATGAATTTGAGATGTCTATGAATAATGTACCCAGTTGTGATGAGCATTACGTGTGGTCTATGAAGGTATGGGAAAAACCAAATGAGGAATAACCGAAAACCCAGTTCAGGGACATGCTTACAACAACAGCATTTGAACAAAAGCTTTCCTACGGCCGCAATGTGAGATCGCGTTGAGCAAGTGCTTCGACTACTCGACGTGCAGCTTCAGCTGTGTCGTTTAGGGGAGGGTAGCTCCAGCTTTCCGAGATCTGCAACCAGAGATAAAGTAAGGACATGTCATGGAAAGGGTAAGATAAAACTGTCGGGATGGACAAGAAGACCGCTAGCATTCCAATGAAGTTAGTATACACAAGACAGCTGAAAGGATAGGGGGATCTATACAAAATATTTATAAAAAATTTGAGGTAGCTGCTCAGCCACAAGGTAGACATGAGATCTAATGGGGGATAGGCACGCTAAACTGAAAACAGGACCATCAATTGGTGTCTCCAATTGATCTAAAACCCAACTTCTAAAGATCAGAAAACAAAAAATATGATTGAATTACAGAAAATGAGTATTTGCTTACATCCTCGGACCCAGTGAATGGCCGAACCACGCCCCGCTCTTTCAAGGATTTGTGGAACGCTGACAACTTCCATTTGCAACGCTCTGCTCCCATAACATAGACAGGTTTCCTGCAAAGATAGTTTGCACACATTAATCTATATCAATAAAGACATTAATATATATATCAATAAAGCCCATCTTAATCCCCGAGAAACCAAAATGTCATCGTCATCAAAGATTAGGACCAGTTTATCACACATACCCAGTGGTGCAAGCCTCGCTGATCATGCTGACTGAATCTGCTGTGACTACAAATGCATCTCCCCAAGCTAAATGTCCCATGTACGGATTTGGCTCTGAATGTTGCAGCAAGAATTGGGATTAAAAGAATGGTCGCAGGGTTAATATCAGCTTTGACTTAATATGACCACAACATACCTTCACCATCCCAGATGTAAACCTTGGGATGGTATGCAAGTTCTTTGATTATTACAGAAGAAACCTGTAAAAGTAGAAGTGAAAATAGATTGCATGGTCAGGACTTGCCATTATAAAGCCTCATAGTAATAGCGATTATTATATACAGAGGCATTGTACCTTTTGAGGTGTTTTCTCTGAGAAGGATATTCTCACACTTCCACAGGTTGCAAGAACACTAAGCAGAAAGTCACTCAACTGCTTTGCAAGGTCAGCTCCATAGCGGCAATATCCTAGAGAGAATTTCAAAGTGAAGCAAATGAACATGTTCAAGACATCAGTCCCACCTCTAGACACGAGAGAGAACTAAGTGTGCAGGAACCAATTGTATATCATTAATTCAAAAACTCTCAGCACTGAAGCTTATTTCAAGTATAGCTTCCTATTATTCTACAAAATCGCAGACAACCAGTTAATTGTTTGGAAGGGAAGATCGATCACAACAGTGGATGTGCATTACTATCTTCTAGATCGAATTCAGGACAGCTTGTATCTAACAAACATATGAATTTTGATATCTTCAAGGACGACTAAGAATGAAAATGGCATGCACCTTCTACATGAACTCACAAAAGAGAAAGGGGCAAAGGAAATGAACGAGAGTCAACTTACTTGCAGGTCCTCCAACATTAACCACTAGCAATGGCTTTGGTAGAGGGGCAAGTTCCTCATGCCAAGCACTAGCTGCATTGCGGAGCATGGAAAAATCAATTTGATGTAAAGCTCCTGTTGTCAGCACCTAATTTCATAGTTAACAATGTAAGCCACAATAGTGGGACTTAAAGAAAGAATGCCAGGAATTGTCAAAGCAAACATTTCATGACTAGACCAAATCCACAGGGAAGATGTCCAGTAACAATATCTTACCACATGCTCATCTGGAGGCTCCTGCGGAGTTATCCATCTCCGCATAAAATGTGGAACCTGCTCTTGTGCTTCTGGAGTCAAAGCATAATAGTCATGACGTGGAGTGATGACCAAGTCAAATCTATTAAGATGTGATCTGGGATGTTGAATCTGTGCAAGAACACAAAGATGGAAAACAAGGTGAGAAGGGTGGAAAACCACGGAAAGGATCCTTAAGAAGTTCATCTCTAGAAAGGATCAAGTGCAGTGATACTGCAATTATAAGAATAACCCCACTGTGGCATAAGTTACAAAACCATTTTAGAAGCTGGCATTGAACATTTGGGGTTTGGGTCCACCGTCATACAGCAGATACTTGACATGTCAATTCTCTGTGATATAATCTACACATGATGGAAGCAAGATGGCTAACTCTAACTCACAATCACTAGTCCCATTCCATACAAATTAACTGACTCGTTTATCTCAAATAACTTATAAGGATCATAAGTTGATTTCTTCTGATAGTCACTTCACATACCAAGAAGTCTAATTGACTCATCAAACTACCATTATATAATAAGAACAAAAAGGAGGCTGGGATTTGGCTTCAATCAATTAACAATTTGCACCTCTTACCACAAGGGAGATTGAAATACAACTTGAACGAAGTGAAGGCATCAGCAACGAACCTGAATAACAAAAACTTTCTCGGAAGCCAAACGTTTTATCGAGCTCGCCACAGAAATAGTATCTCTTCCAGATGCAACAACCAAAAGAGGACCATCCCTGAAAGTTCCAACCATATGTTAGTAGACCAGTAAAACCTGAGAAATATAATATAAGAGAAGACGCAGCCCCTCTTTAGGTGCAAGAACTATAACAATTAGTGAAGCTGAGCGTAAAAGAGGAAGTACTTTTCATAGGTATCACGTGCCAGATTCACAATATGCTTCACATCAGCTTCTAAAATTGAAGCCAATCCTACGCTGCTTCCATTTTCTGAAGGGATAGGTGAAAGTTTCTTGGTCCTTGTAGCCCGTGAGCAGATGCTTAACTTTGTCATGACATAATATAAAAATTTGTGAAGCCAAACTGGCAGCCAGTGCAGCCACTCATTTATCCCTCCCCTCGGTCTTGTAACCCGCTGCAACCAGTTGCGAGATAAAGATCATAAGAATAGAAGAGAACAACACATATCGATCATGGAAGTTGCTTACATGTGGTTCAGCAAAATGATTCAAAATGAACCAAATCCACATGTTTCCAATTGTGCTTTAGCACAACATGTTTGATCCCAAGAGATTAGTAATCAACACCTTGAGCAACAATTTTCAACCTAGTGCCAGTTACTAATACTTTCAGCTAAACTCAGTTCACTACTCAAGGCGATCGAAATGACGTGAAAAGGACAATCAAAACCACTTCCATCTACATCCTATCAACGAAATTAATGAATGGGGCCTTATTTTCATCTCCCTTTCAATTTCCTCCAATTCAGACACGAGGTACTCGATTCAAACTCCATTGCCCCGGAAATCAGTATGACCGTATCGCACACAAATTCAAAATCAGCTCCAGATCTTCAGCACAAGTCAAACAAGCTCACAACTATCATCGAAAGCTCCCAATCAATTCATAAACGAAACAATCCATTCAACCTAGTCTAAGTGCAATTCCTATCAGCAGAAGCACCAAATCAAATCAAAATTGACGATTGCAATCCAGTTCAGGTAAATGAAATGAACTGATGAGGGCGTACGGGAACTCACATAAAGTACATGCTGGTCGGAGAGTCCGAGGGCGCGAACCAGGCCGAGGCTCTGGTTCTCCGAACCGGCGAACCCGTTTCCGATCACAACAGCGCGCCTGACAACGCTGTGAGCGCCGCCTTCGAAGATTTCGGGGACGCCAACGGCGGTAGGACTCTCCGGCAGCGATAACCGTATAGGCTTCATGAATCACACGGGCGCGACAGTGGTGAAACCCTAGAGACGTTCCAATTGGCTGTTCTTCCGTACACGCTTTCCGGTATATCAGAAGAGAAGGAGGGGAATGTTTTCGAGGCTGGCTGGCTGGGGAAGGAAAGGAACTAAGGAAGCAAAAACTGACCAGAACAGTTCGCCTCCACTGAATGAACTCACCGTTTCACGGTTTCTACCTCATTCCACGTTTCTGGTCCGACGTTTCGTGTTCTGGTTTCGGTTGAAATGCATTTCATTGGGCCAAGCTTGATATCGGCCTGAAACTTGTCAGACATAAAGCCCATTGACGAAAGCCCAAAATCCACTGACGAAAGCCCTTTCACGAAAGTTGGATCCTATTACCATCATGTTTGAAAATATGAGTAAAACCCATATTTTTTTTTTTTGTCATAGAAATCTTGGTAGATTTACAAGGCAAGGATAAGGGTAGCCACAATAACCGGCACACTCACTTATCAAAAGACATATAAAACAAATAAGAGAAGTCGAATAACAATGAGGGTAATCCAGGAAAGCGTAGGGCACGTTGCGCCACTAAATGGGCAGCCCGATTCGCATCTCGAGGACGAGGAGTAAATTGTAAAACAACTTTTGGCAATTGGACTAGTAACGCATGAACCTCCGAAAAAATTGCGCCAGCACGTGCATCTGATAAATTACCCGAAACCAGCTTGTCAATGACCACTTGGGCATCTCTCGTAAGTAAAACATCCCGATCATGCCAATGCCACCGTTGCAGCAAATATAGTGCCTCTCGTATAGCGAGCAACTCAACCAAGCCAGGATCCGACACTCCTCGAATAAAAGACCCAAAAGCAAAGTCGGAACAACGCCTGTAAGACCAACAGTACCAATGGCTCCAGAGTGATGGGGAGAAGTTGCTCCATCAACAGCCAAACGAAGGCCTTGAAAAGCACCAGTAATAACTGCTGAAGAAGCCTTATTGCGTGACGACGAAGGAGGTTGAGGAGCCGGAGAGACAATGGCAAGACGGTTGGAGTCGCGATGGGAAAGGAATTGACGACGGAGAACAGGGAAGGTGAATTCGGCATAAGGAGAGAACACAACATTATTACGCCCTTTCCAAAGACGCCAACAGAGAAGAAGCCAATCAGAGATGATATCCGGGGCAGCATGGCATAATAAACTTCGCCACAACAGAACGAAATGGTAAGAAGGATCAAAACCCAGCGGTAGTGAAATGCCAATTGCATCACGAAGACGAATAGCCACAGGACAACGAATAAACATATGTTCAAGAGACTCTCCTTCATCAGATTCGCAAATTGGACAAAAAGATGGAACATCAAGACCATGTCGCTGTAAATCCTCTCGAACCGGTAGAATCCGAAGTGGCATTCTCAAAAGAAAAAACTTGAGCTTTGGCATCACCGGTAAGGACCAAACTTTTGGCCACAAAGAAGGGTCAAGAGGGGAGGCCGAGTCAACCGACCGAGATGACTGAGGAGCAGAAAGAGCTTTAATTTGGAGCCCAAGATGATACGCCGACTTAACGGAAAAAACACCATTGGTGGTGTAATGCCAAACAAACTTATCTGGAGACAAAGTGCGGGGAAGGGGAATGGCAAGGATGCTCTGAACAGAAGATGAATCAAAAAAATCACGTAAACGAGTCTCACGCCAAGTGGAGGTAGTAGGAGAAATAAAGTGAGAAACAAACAATGGAGAAACCTGTACAGAAGGAAGACAAGTAGGACGGAAAGCGGGTAAAGTAGGTACCCAAGGATCTGTGAAAGCATCAATGGAAGCACCAGAGTGAACCTCCCAACGTAACCCATGAACAAGTAAATCACGACCATGCAGAAGAGACTGCCAAGCCCAAGACGGAGTGGAGCCAATAGTGGCTGAAAGAAAAGATCCATGAGCAAAATACCGACCCTTCAACACACGAGCAACAAGCGAATCAGGAGAATGAAGAATACGCCAACACTGTTTTGCCAATAAAGCTTGATTGAATGTAGAGAAATCCCGAAAACCTAGCCCCCCAGCAGCCTTTGATAAGCATAACTTTTTCCACGAAATCCAAGGTAGACGACGTTCAGTGCCTTGCTGTCCCCACCAAAACCGAGCAATCATACGATTAAGATTACGACATAACTCCTTTGGGAGGCGAAATCTCAAAGCCGCTAACCATTTACTATTTTGTTGCAAGAACTGCCGCTGGTATCGGTTACTTTTACTCTTAGAGAAGCAAATTGGATTGCCCATGTTGTGGCACGTAATGCCTTATGCTACTCTGCTTCTTGTAGTGTTCGTTTCAATTGTATTTATTTGCTTTGACTATCTTTTCACGAAGAAGTCGTTATATTGTGACTATCTCGTGCTTAACTAGTTAATCCGCAAGGGTATCTATGACCAAAAAAGCCTACAAGATGACATTGTAATTTCTGAATGAGTGTATGCAATGTTATTTTCAGGAATCGTGTTTCTAAGTAACTGAGAGCTATTATTAATGGTGTCATCTATTATCACTGATAAGTGATTAATTATTGTTGTCGATGAAAAATCTGAGAGGAATTGATAATACACATAAACGAATCTTATGTCAGTTGAATACAGTGGAGGAGCCACGTTGGTGGTAAGGGGGTTATAGTTCCCCTCAACTCTCAAAAGTACGCAAGATTACATGTAAATTTGGTAACAAATTAGTGTACCCATAGCGTTTGGTAATGTTTTAGCCTCTCCCCAATTATCTGGTAGTAAAAGTTGGACATCTCCCCACAACTCGATTTATTAAGATCAACTGATTTTTGACATGTTATTAGAGCTTTTTGTAACCGAGATGTCTTCTACTCGAATCCTCGTAACTTCTATTTGTTAAGCGCACTTTTGTCAAGCACATATGAGTATACTTTTATTTGATGGATGTGTTAGTACATAGTATTTGATCAATTATTGACTCTCTCTCAACAACTCAAATTATTGAGATCAACGATATTATATCAGTTTAAATCTTTTCTAACATTTATTTTGTTAGCATCTTTCGGTTTAAGATTTCTGGCTCCAGATTTTATGTTTGACTTAACTGAACAAACTATATTAATTGATGGAGCCATAAAAGTAAAACTATGCACCTGCACAAGTTCTTTAGGCTCGAGCCTTCAATAAACGGTTCCGAAGTCCGAATCCAATGGTTTAACACCGCGCAACCAGACAAACAGTAAATTGTAGTCAAACTCTTGCATTCAGTTTCGCAACAGTTGTCTTTTCCATGCTCTAACCAAAAAAGAGCTTGAAATTTAGAGCTCGTACATACTAGAAATCCATATTTGATATTTCCTTGCTTGAAAGTTTATCCCAATTTTGTTTCACTTCACCTTAGTTCTTGATGAAATCAAGGTTTGATAAAAGAAAAACATTCCATGTATAGACTTTTATGACGGATAGGCTTCATAGAAGCGTGCCAAAGACGGTATTACTAGCATTAATTTTAAAAAATTATTTTTTGTCGATAGTATATCAATGATTCGGACCGAAGAATCCAACTTAGATTTAACATTGTCTGACGGATACCGTTACACAAGTAGACCATTTGAAATCTCCACTAACTAACAAAAGTTATTTTTTGGCAATTTGGTATATGGACATCTGTACTTTTAGATTACTATGTAATTGTTCAATCGATGTGATCAAACTAGATAAAGCATATACTAATTTAGGACTTCATCGACTATACTGGGTTAGAAATTTTGTTTTGAGAAAAAAACTCGTGTAGTTACTTGCATATCGAAAGTGGCATACATGTATACAATCTGGTGACTGACAAGTGACAAATACCATAACAAATTGGTGAATATAACGTCAACATTAGCCGATAAAAGTTATTTTTCAACTTCCATATATACAAATAATCACATCGATCGAATCCAACTTACATGCTGACAGAATGTTACATACTCAAAATAGTTGAAAATCTATATCAACTAGTAAAACGTCTTCAAACTTTTCGATAAGACATTTTTTTTATTTTGTATCTATATAATCGATCTAACATTTACTCAATATGGTAACTCACAAGTAATATAACGTACTCGATGAGCCTAGAGTCAACATTATATTATATGATAACATTGATTTTTGGCAAGTACTATTACTTACATTATACTTGAACTCTCTAATCTAGTATCCTATAGTGATTGGTTTGAATCTATAAATGTGTTCTTGAAATGTAAGCTCTTAACCAAAACCATGCAAGTATGCAACATAGCTTGATTGTGGTTTAATCTTTTTCCATCTTGTCGTTTTTCACTCTTTTTTTTTTACATTATGACACAACGACTAACAATCATCCACCACCAACATTTATTAACTTGGCATTGGTAGGCGTTTTTGCATGAAGGTAAAAAAATTAATTACAAAAGATAGGTGTTGCCAAATGCCAACCAAAAAGGTAAACACAAACAAGGCAAAAAATAAAGTCCAGGCAAGGACTCGTAAATGATTTTTAACTTCTTCCCAACCTTACGATTTTGTAACCGCCGTTGGCCCCTCCATATAAACCCCGTTCACAAAATCTTCACTTCACTTCAAACCCCCCACCAAAGCCATAAAGAAAAAGAGGATTAGTAAAGCCAATTATGTTCAACATTTGTCATTAGAGCCACCCAAAATCCTCCCTAATGATGATCCTACTCTTGATTTTTTTCGTACTATTATCTCACCTCAGTCAGACTCATGTCCTCGCCGTCGCCGCAGCCACCACGATTGAGCGACACCCCTGTCGCTCCATCGGGGCCGCCGCGGCTGCAGCAGCAGCCACCGAGAAGAACGGATCGCCACCATCAGCAGCAGGGTATGCGCCCTGCTTCTGGTGGTGGCACCGCCACCACCACCACTACTTCTTCCTTCCGCCCCTTCTCGGCGATGCTCCGGCTCCTTCGCCGGTCCAGGTGGCTGCACCAGCTCCGTCGCCAGCTGGTCCCCTCGTTCCGTATCCGGATCGACCACTTGTTCCGCCGGATCGACCGCTACTTCCGCCACGAGCGCCTCTTTTCCGCCACCGACACCCTTCACCATCGGCTCCTCCTCCGAATTCGCCGCCATCGTATCCTCCGCCGCCTCGGCCGCTCGGTCCGCGATCTCCGGACTCTCCTCCGCCTCACCCGCATCCGTCCCCACCGTCGCATCCCGCCGCCGCTCCTCCA